AGCATCTCCTGTGAACCCTTCTTTAATGCCAAGGAGCCGTTGCCCCAGGCCACACCAGCTGCCCTGGCTGAGCGCAGACATGGCAGAAGAAATCATTGAAATGTCTCTACCATGCCCACTGTAGTCTGGGTGGTCTTGTACAGGCAGCCCTCGCTCCTAAGAGGAGGTGGCTTATCTAAGGGAATCGCCCCCAGGAATACCCACTTGCTGTACCCAGATGTGGAGTGTCTACTTAGAAGTGAGCTCTGCGAGCTCCCTCCACGGCCGTCTGGAAGGCATCGTGCTTGCTATTTGGGACAGGGACATGTAGAGCGCACTCCCTCCCCTAAGAGCCTGTTATCGTGGGTGACGGGACAGTCTACACAGATGCCTGACTCTGGAATTCACAGCAGTCATTACTTAGAGAACAGAAGGGGATGATGCCAGACGATGCCACTCCAGACCCGTTCAGAGCATCCCAGAGAATGAGGCGCCCCAGGCGGCAGGGCTGCTTTCTGGCCTTGCACTGCAACCCTGGACCTCGTCCAGCCCTGCCTCTGCCCACAGCAGTGTCCCTGAAAACCCTGGCTTACAAGTGTTTCTCTGCCACAGGTTCAAGGTGGACCTCAGCCACTACCCTACCATCTGTCAAATCAACAAGGCCCTACTAGCCTTAGAGGCTTTCCAAGTGTCTCACCCCAGTCGACAGCCAGATACACCTGCTGAGCTGCGAGCATAGTTCCCAGACCATGCCTCCTGCACAGGGAAGGGAGTAAGGCTCAGATGCTGGATGAGCTGGACAGGCTCAAGAATGAGCGAGTTGAAACGGAGGGCTTGAAGTTGACCTCTTCCCTGAGGAAGCAGTGGAAACCCTTGGAGTCCATGACATTTCTTTAAGGCTGCCAGTATCAGAGTCTTCTCTAGGGAAATTAAGTTAGTAGAAAATATCTCTCCTTCAACTTCATCCTGCCTTAACCCTCTTCTCTGCCATGTGTTAGGAGTGGGCGTGGCAGACATGAGCAGCTGTAATGGCTAATGCTGTCAACCTGAGAAAAAGACCTAGTCACCTGAGGGAAGGGCCTTTAGGAATGTCTGTGGGGTGATACCAGTGATGCTGAGGTGGGAAGACTCGTCATGGGTGGCAGAGGATCCCGGAGCCTCGATGAGCAGAGAAGAGCTGAGCACTAGCGTGTATGCATTTGTTGTCGTATGTTGTCTCCACCTGACTATGGAAGCAGCTGTGATCAATACTCCCACTAATGCCTTGACCCCCTGCCACTGTAGACTGGAGGCCAGAACTATGGGCGAGAATAAACCTTCTTCCTTTACATCACTTTCGTCTGGGTATTTTTGTCACAGCAACAGAGAAGCCCAGACCCCTGCTGTCTCTCATGGGCAGCCGTGAGGATGGCAGATTTACCAAAGTGCCATAGGGGAGCCTGAACTCCTCTTCGTCTCCTTATTGAACCTGACTGCAGAAAACATTTACACTGAGTTTGGTCATTGGCTGAAGGCAGGCCTCCCGCTTGCTCCACTAGGAACGAGCTGGATGCCAGAAGAGGAACTGTCCTGCTAGCTGGAAAGGGCTTTTAGGAATGTAACATCTGCGAGGGCTTATACTGGTAATTAGCAAGTCTTGTTAGCCTTTTGCCCTTCCTAAGGCAAGCTTAGCTCCTGACACCCAAAGGCAAGGAAGAGACTAAGCACATCCTGCCTGAGAAAACTAACCAGATCCAGGAAGGGAGGATTTAATAAGCAGGAAACGTGTCTAGTGACCAGCTGGGTCCCAGAGCAGAGTGCCGCACTGCCGTGGCACGTCCACACCAGCACCGAGAGGTCCACGGCTCTCTCCACACAATTACTCGTCCTAAGGAGAACCGTCTCTGAGCTAGTCCCAGGATGAGGCCCTCTGAGAAAACACCACGAATGACGCTGGAAACGGGAAATGGGCTCCTTCCTGTGCTGTGTAGACAGCTCGACCGATTCCAGATCAGATTACTTGGGTGACCATGTATCACTTGCTCCCCTGGAGGGGCAAGTCCCAGTACTTGGCATTGTGGAAGATAGGTAGTGTCTGCGATGGAAAACAAAATGACCTTCTGTGATCCAACCCTGATCCTTCATTTCTCCTGCACTGCCGAGGATAACCAGGGAACTGAGGTCTGTATGTCTTGTTTGACTGGAAACAATGCTCTCAGCTTTTCTCCAGCTCAGTCCCAGGGCACTGCCTGGATTCTGCCCCATGTTGTAGCCTCTCCTCTTAGATGCTCTGGGCTCCAAGCTCTGGGATGACCACTCTTTCTCCCAAGGCTGCTTTTGTCCCAACAAAGCCAGAGGGAAGTAAAGGAAGGTAGATATTGCAATGAGGGAGATGAGTGAATACCTGGCCTGCCCTTCTGCCATGTGGAACTTTTCCTAAATCAGTCTAGATCTAGATGGATAAGACCTACTTGGTATCTCCCTAAGAAACTCACATGGAGCCAGGTGATGGTAGTGCAGGCCTTTAATCCAAGCACTTGGGAGGCAGAGGCAGTCAGGTCTCTGTGAGTTCGAGGTCAGCCTGGTCTACAGGGCGAGTTCCAGGACAGGCTCCAAAGCTACACAAAGAAACCCTGTCTTGAAAAACCAAAGAGAGCCGGGCGGTGGTGGCGCACGCCTTTAATCCCAGCACTTGGGAGGCAGAGGCAGGCGGATCTCTGTGAGTTCGAAACCAGCCTGGTCTACAAGAGCTAGTTCCAGCACAGGCTCCAAAACCACAGAGAAACCCTGTCTCGAAAAACCAAAAAAAAAAAAAAAAAGAAAGAAAGAAAGAAAGAAAGAAAGAAAGAAAAACCAAAGAGAGAGAGGGAGGGGAGAGAAAAGAAACAAACACTAATCTGAACCAGAAACCATGGATTACTCGTTCTTGATCAAGCCCTGAGCCTGGCCTTGCCCCCTTACATATATGTTAAATTGGAAGATGTCCTTTCCCTTGCCCTTTTATTCATCTCTGGGGTTCCAGAAGATCATCACTTGTGTCTACAAGTACTTGCCCTAGATGTACACTTCCTCCAGCAGTCGGGCCAGATGGCTACAACGCTTAGTATTAATTGTTCCTAAACAGTTTTTAAAAACATCTACTCTTCAAACTCAAGTCATCAAATAAATTCTTATATTCAGGGGCAAGTTGTATCACCCAACCCAAGACTGTCTTTGTGTGTTTTTCCCTCTATGACAACATTCCTGAGACTGAATAATTTATATAGACATTCATTTTCTCTCAATTCTGGAGGACAGGAAGTCCAAGATGAAGGTGATTCTGTCAGGGGAAGGTTACTGATTCCAGGATAGTGCCATCAACACAGTCTCCCAGTAGTAAAAGGAAGAGAACAAAAAAGACCCAAAGTAGTTCCTTCCTGTTTACTTTATAAAACACTAAACCCTACTTACCAAGGCAGAGCCTTTAACACTTAATCACTCCTAAAAGCCTCACCTCTTAACACTGCATTGGGGATTACATCTCTGTGAATTTTGGAGTTGTCACAAACATTCAAACTGCATCAGGGACTATCACATTGGTAAGGGGACTTTGCTTCTCAAGAGGGACTTCGCTCAAAATGCTGAGTGGTCAAGTCCTTCCTTTCCATCTCATTTGTCAGGTTTGTGAAAATAGCAGGCCCTAGGCTCTGGTGTGCCTGGGGCCAGGAAGGACCCGATACAGTTCCTGGGGCCAGAGTGGCTACAGTGGAGGAGGAATACATCTGAGTGGCTCCAACACTGAAGCAGTGTGTCTCAGCAAATGGTTCAGGAGGAGTAAAGCAAGCAGGAAGAAGTTTTAGAATAAACCGAATAATTCAATCCCTAGCACTGGGTGTGGAGTGTAAAACAAAAAAGCAGATTTCTTCCCGAAAAAGTTTATGTATCCATTATAAGAAGTGGTAAATGTATTGAGTGAGCAGGTGGATACATGTGTTCATTAAGATACTCATTCTAAACCTGGCGGTGGTGGCGCACGCCTTTAATCCCAGCACTCGGGAGGCAGAGGCAGGCGGATCTCTCTGAGTTCGAGGCCAGCCTGGTCTAGAAGAACTAGTTCCAGGACAGGAACCAAAAAGCAACAGAGAAACCCTGTCTCGAAAATCAAAAAAAAAAAAAAAAAAAAAGATACTCATTCTATTCCAACACAACACTCACCTAGCTCTTGGTTCCAAGATCGGGCACCATTCTAATTTGTGAATACTTTTAAGATTACTGTTGAACGCCAAGAGCTGCAACTTGTGAGCTGCCATGTGACAGGTGTGAATGATTTTAAACGTTAAAATTTTAAACTTGAAGCAGTGTTCTGTTTACCAATCACTGCTGTAAACCTCGTTCCCCCAAGCCAAGCTCCCACTTCAGAATGTTCTGCCATGAATTTATTTTTACATTTTAAAAACTGTATATACACAAGTGTTTTATCTGCATATATGTATGCGCACCATGTGCATGCTGTTGCCTGAAGAGGTCAGGGGAAGACGGGGGGGGGGGGGTCCCTTAGAGCAGAAATAGCATGCTGTGCTGGAAACCAAATCCAGGCACAGTGCAAGAACAACGATGGATGCTCCCAACCACCTGGACATCTCTCCAGCCCCAAAGGTTTTTAAATTTATTTTTATTTTATGTGCATGGGTGTTTTGGTTGCATGTAGGCATATACCATGTGTGTACAATGCCACTGGAGGCCAGAAAAGAATATATCCTCTGGAACTGGAGTTACAGATGGTTATGAGTCACCATGGGGTCCTGGGAACTGAACCTGGGTCCTCTACAAGAGCAGCAAGTAGTGTTGATGTCTGAGTCATTTTTCCATCATCCCCTCTGACAGGAATTTACATACAGGCATTCATTTAGTCTCAGTTTTGCTTAATTTTCATAATCTTAATAGATTATGGAAGAACCCACCAGGGTTCACTGACTACTTTCCTTCTTAAGCTGAAGAGAAAAAACAAAGTCTCAAGTGGGTAGCAGTAGGGCTTGTTAAGATAGAACTCAAAGATTTAGGTGCACAGTGAAAAAGTTTATTTATGACAGATTTCAAAACTTGGAAAAGAAGACAAAAAATGCACAAAAGCATTTCACAAAACTGTCACATACTATAAAACAACAGAACTCAGCTGTCTAACCATTGCTCAGGACACATTCAGTGCCGTGAGGTGAAAATACGCAGTGTGACGGGAGGAAACGCACTGAGTAAGCACTGGCGCAGCGTTCTTACGTGGAGGTCATACACTCTGGCAGCACTTCTAATGACAGGCGACACGAAAAACAGCTGTAATAGCTCATTAGTTTGGATCTGTTTGAATTTTGAAGAAAAAAAAGACAAGACTGTGATATAGTTTCCCTTCCAGGCCTTTGGTAACCATGGCAGCAGCATATGATACACAGCAGTACGGAAAGAAAACCCAATCCCCTTCAAACCACTCGTGGATCTGGACGATGGCTCCGGAGTAGCCCTTGGGATGAGTAAGCGAATGGCACTGCAGTTAGGAGAGCGCCAGGCACCTCCCTGCCTTCCCATTCTGCTTTTCCACTCTGCTCTCTAGACTCTGTCCCTTTGTTACGACGCGTTTGCAAATGCTTTTTTATTACAAAGCATCAAGCATTTCTTCTGTAAGCTTCGAAATGCTTCCAATTATTAAGAGAACGTGGATACACCAAAGTCATGCATCATGGGATTGCTTTTTCCAGACCGGCAGGACTAAATGGAAATAACTCAGACTGATTAAATGAAAGCTAATTCACTTATGGGACAATAATCTCAGAACCGGACACAATATGTATTTTTAGCATAAAATGTCTTAATAAAATGTACTGCTTAGGATATGAGAGGAGGAATTAAGACAATGTTTTCTAGCTGTGTCCTGGCCTGAAGCTAAGAATGGACATCAGATGAGACATTCCAACCCTGAGTGAAGAGTTTAGGGGGCCTCTTAAGCCGGCAGGAAGCTAAGGGTTCTTCAGTAATACTGCACATCATTGCAGCTCCAAATCCAGAATCTTCCCAATCCTGACAGCCCTGCAGGAGATACTCTGTTTCCATAGGTCATTTCACACATACAATTTTACCCCCAGATAAGTCAAAAAGCTCCCCGATTCAAATGACAGGAAACTGAAATTTCATAAAGCAGCATATATTTCTAGGTCTCTGGGGCACCGTTTTTATTGTATCTTAAACTGAAGAGCCACGTCTGTGTTCCACATGTTAAAAATCAGATAATGAGTTCACACCAGGGACCAGCCCTACAGTTTCACACCCAGTGTCCTATCTACACTCTATTCCTGAGGAGTGACTATCTGTAAGGGAGCCAAATTATCAATACCCTACTGACAACTCTATTGTTGATTGTATTTTCTTAGCTTGGAGACAGTGGTTCACACAGAGGCGGCTCTGGTTAGCCTTCTTGGTCCAAGAAAGCAATGCTACATGCAGAGGGAACAGTGACTGCAACCTGGCCAAACAACACTTAGGATGTTTTCCTACATTTTGGATCACAGTTCACCCTAGACAACTGAATGTTCTTTGGGAATGCCCCGAGGTGCTACATAAGTTAAACAAAGCAAAAAGCTGCCACTTAACAGCATCAGATACATACAGATCCAAGAAATTCTTGCATGAATTTCTTGGTCCCCCTAAATACCACCAGGAACAAAGAATGCTCGCTTAGGTCATTGGAGATCAGATATTCAGCTTACTGGCTGTTTGGATGCTCATCTTCTGCCCCACGAAGGAAGGTGACAGCGCCTGGAGCACATGCACGCGTGAACACAGTGACTTGCTTTGTACAGAATGCATCCTTATCCAAGCACCCGCACAGCAGCAGTAACACCAAGTCCCTTCTTCAGATGAAAGCTTACCTTTTCCCACAGGGGCTCCGAAGGGACCCACCCACCCGCGCTGCCCTTCTCCCAAAGTGCAGGCATTCTACACCTCTGGTCATATGGAAGAAACTCGGGACAGAGGTCATTGTGGATGCTTAGCATGAAGAGAAACTCCAAACAGAAGCCCTAATAGAGAAAGCTGTGTGGTTTGCTCTGTGTGGTGACGCTGTCAGCCTGCAGGAGGCCTGCTTGCTACCCAGCACTCTCATGGCTGTAGGTTCTGTGGTGGTGGACACAAGGCATCTGAATTATGCCTACAGGGACACATTCACAACTAAGCCTTCAGCACCCTGAGTGGAACTGACTCTTGTCCTTCTCTCATCCTGCTACCTCTGTTATGCCCCAAAGGATGGAGACAGGAAACCAATCCTCAGGTCATGGTTACATTTAGCAGAGGAAACTACTAAAAAATGCATACAGCCAACCCTGTTGACAGATGGCAAACTGGGTTGGAGGATTCTCCACTGAGCATGAGGAGAACCAGTAAGGCTTCTGGCTTACAAAACAGTTCCGACGAGCAAAGCGCCACTGAAGCACTCAGTGAATTCTGGGACATACCATAGTGTGGTCGCTCTCCGCTCCTCTGTTCCATCCCGTTTTCACCCTTAAAGGCAGCTGAAGCAGCACAAAATTGCTTGTGTTCCACCCCCCTGTCTACTAAAAAAAAAAAAAAAAGAAACCCTACATAAATGATAGGATCACTCAGTTCCACACCTTAGAACCACAGACTCTGATGTTAAAGGCAACGTTTTGCAGAGTGCTCCTTAAACATAAATATACAATCACATACTTTAGGGTTCTCTCACAGAAGGAACTAAGACTCACCAAAATCAAAAGGCATATATTATAAACTCCACAATAATATCTAATCCCATGAATATAAAACAGTTACAGACTAACTTGTCTGTATTCATATAACGGGACTTTAAAAGCCCATTCTTCCTAGATATCAAATAAAATATTTTTAAAGTGCGTGAATTCATCCATGAGAACAATAACTCAAAACAGCCTGCTTTCAAGTGGCTACCTGCTTCCATGTGTTCTGTGCAGAGCGCATTTGCATGTGAGCATCCTGAGGGTGTGTCAGCTGAGAGGAGAAGGCAGGCTTTGGGTACAGCTGTGCAGTCACCTGCACACAGCCATTCAGCTAGAGGGGAAAGCCACTTTGGCTCCAGTCAGAAGTAAGGGACATCCAGCTAGTTTTCTAAAAGATGGAGACAGACAGCCACTTTTGTGAAGACCCTCACTGGAAAGGGGACATCCTCTGACCATCCACTTGCCAGAAGGAGCTAAAAGGTACAATCTTTGTTTAAAAACTGGCAGTTTGTTGTTTAAAAATAGACATGGATGTAAGTTTATGCTTTTTTTTGTTTGCTGAAATTTTTCATAAGATGTTGGAAAAAATAGCACTTTAGATATGTCTTTTTTTAAAGTCCTGTCTCTTCATAAAGAGCAAACTTAGATAGACTGAGGAAATGTGAACGGTCAGTCACTTTGTGTGAAGACCCTCAATCTCAGCCTTCTTACAAAAGCCTTTCTCTCAACTGCACAGCATCGACCTGTGCCCTAGTGAGCAGGGCAAGAGTAAAAGCAGATAATCTATTTCATTATTTGGTTGTTGCAACATGAACAAGGAAGGATCAAGGAAGTGACACTTCTTAGGACCTCCAAGGTACATGTGTGTTCTCCATAATTACCTGTGTTTTCGGAAAATAATACTTTATCTCTCAAGTTCTCTTACTGCAAAAATTTAGTGTGAGAATAGTGAATTCATCATACTGTTGGCATGTCTTCTTTTAGCCATTTTATGTTCATGAGACAAAAACCCTGCTGAAGAGAAGCCAGTAAGAACTAACTGTGACAGAATGACCAGCCAGTGACAGGCACATCAGAGGGATCAGAAGCCCACAGACTTCCCTGGAACAAGAGAACTGGGGCTCCAAGAAAGTAAGACACCATGACCTCACATAAGAACAAAAGACAAGACAGAGCAAAAGCCCTGGGGCCGTGCTACCTGGGGCCGGATCTGCCCTTCTGAGAGTGGGCTAGGGGTTGAGGGCAGGAGAACAGGAAAAGTAAGCGGGACTGCGCTGACTTGAAAATAGCTCCCAAGATTGTTTCTACAAAGATTACACTCGACCAGGGAAAACATCATTCAGCTTCAGCTCAGCTGCTCTGGGAATGATCACTCCTCTAGGACAGAGGGACTCGGCACACAATAACGAAATGTGGTAAAGGAAACGTCATGAGGGCATCGGAGGACTCTGACATCCGGTACCTGGGGTGCTCGGCTGGTCACTGACAGGATCATCAGTTCCTTAAGTCGATTTCCAGTGCAAGGGCGTCCATCACCCATTCCTCATGGGGAGTGCTGAGACGGACCCACACACGGACGAGGTTAGAGTCGGCCTTCTCACAAAGGACAGGCTCTTCCCAAAACATCACAGGGCAGCTGGCATGCAGGAACGACACGCACAATCATTTCCAAGCTCTACAACCGTCGTGAACGCCATGGAAGAGGTGCCCTCAACGGCTCAGAGCAGACGGAAAGCAATGGGAAACAGATGGGAACTGTTTCAAAGGCAAACTGAAATGTGCTTTAAAAAAACACAGAGTAATAAATAAACCTAATTATTCAAAATTCAGAAGGATGGCAGACGACACAGGGTAGGAGACAAAGAGGTACAGAGGACTGCAGAGGTCCACGCCTCACTGTCTGCCCTCTCCACCTGAAGCCCAAGCATCTGGTGCGCTGTGGCCACTGCAACACGACTCCATTCTGTGGCTCCAGAACCTCAGGATGAACAGAGTGCAGGAGGCTGTCCCTACAGGCTTTGGTCAGGTCAGGAGCACACACAATCAGCAGCAAGAGCAAAATTCCATCATTACTTTCCCTAAGGACTGTGAATGGCAAAAGTTTACACCCTCAGTGGAAAGAACACAAACCCAGAATCACTGCAAACCTGACTGGGTTTCACTGTATTTGGCTCCAAATGAAACTTTCTAGATAACACCCCTAGCCTAAACACGGGGGTGGAGGTGGGGGGGCAGCACACCGGACAACCACTAGTACTTGACTTCCAGAAGGGCTGCTTCTGAGATAACCCAGTGCCTGCCTTCCACCCTTGCTGTACCAACTACCAGCGCCCTTAGTAAGGGAGAGAGCTCTGGAGACGCCAAGTGATGGAGGCCGCTTTTCTTCCCAGCAGATCTTAGGACACTGACCACAGCTCGGCAGTTCTTGCTACATGGCATAAACAGAGACTTGGTACAGAGAAAGGAGGAAGGTCTACCCAGAAGGAGTAATAATATCCATCCAAGGCAGTGAGGGCTTCTAGGCTGAGCTACAGACTCAGAATGCCCAGCAGGCAGGAGTATGGCAGTGCTGAGAGGCTGGATGGAGCGCTCCCCATCCAGGGTATTGGGCTCTTTCATAGACAATGTGCTTTTCCCTCTTTGGCACCTCGACATGTAAGAGGGCAGGCGCTGCTAAGTACATCGGCATTACAGGCTCTGGAGAAGAGTGGGCGTCCACCTGAATGACAAGCTGTACCAGCGTGAATCAATTTTTTTCAAAGACATCCTTCTACCTCATTTTGCCTCATAGGGGCCTTCCGAGAGGGTTTTGCTGGAGTCTGAAACAAGAGCGTGAGCCGGGGCCACAGAACAGGAGCGCTACACCACCACCTGCAGAAGCCAAGAAAGGGGAGAAGCTACATGGGGTCAGTAGTCAGGCATGCCAGGCAGGGCACGAGGCCTGGGAGCCTCACACAGAACTTGAGGCCCTTGCTTATAGGCAAGAGGCACCAGCTGGCAGCCTGCTTTAGCCAGCACACACAGCCTGCCCTAGCCTAGCGTCCTTCAGCTAGTGTAGTAGATGTGGAAGTACAGAGTCTTGTTGCGCAGCAGGGAGTACGAGTTATCAAACTTGAGCAAGTAGATGCCCTCTCCAGGGTAGTCATGGCTGCCAGCTTGCACATCTCTGTGGCTGTCCCTCCGGTACACAGGCATGACTTCCCCATAGCGACCCCGTAGAGAACTCCTGGAGCCTCTCTCCACATCTCCGACAGGGACGGGTTCTGCAGGAGCATAAGGGCAGAGTTTAGATGAGCGGTTATAGCCTGCATACATGCTGCCTGGAGGTGAGAGAACTAGAAGAGTCCACAGATCCTCTTGCTCATCGACATGACAGCAGAAAGAAACCAGCACTCAGCAGCCCCGAGACCAAGAGTCTCAGGAAACAGGAATGCTTCCTCTGAGAAGTCGTGATCCAGCCTGACAACCTTAGACGTATCTGGCTCTCAGTGAGGAAAACATGTTTAGAGAGCAAAACCTGGACATCCTTGGAGTACATAAAAGGATTAGTTAACAGAAATAGGAAATAGAGATTTTAAACACAGTGTACAAAATGACCCTAAAACTTCCACTTGACATCCTGAAAAATAGCAAGATAAAAGGTCCACTCCCCTTCCCTAAATATACACAGATTTCCTGGTAGACTTGAAAAAGCACGTGAAGAAAATGTTTTGTAGTCATACATGAAAGCTATGGGATACTATGAGCACTTAGAATTTGCTTCTAGATTCCTCCCTCTATGTCCCATCATGAGTAGACACAACAAATAATAAAAATGGAGCAGACAGGGGCTGGAGAAATCCAGGTTTGATTCCCAGCACTCAAATCTTGGTTCACAACTATCTGTAACTCCAGGTCCAGGGGATACCACTCCCTCTTCTGGCCTCCACAGGCAGCAGGCACATATGTGGTACAGAGACATACAAGCAGGCAAAACATGCACATAAAATACAATAATCACAAAATTATTTTAAAGCTGGGTGCTGGTGATACACACCTTTCATCCCAGCTCTCAGGAGGCAGAGGGAAGTGAATCTCTGAGTTCAAGGCTAGCTTGGACTACAGAATGATTTCCAGGACAGCCAGGGCTACACAGAGAAGATCTATCTTGAAAAACAAAAACAAAATAAAAGTTTTAAAAAGAATGGAGCAGAGACCACTACTTTTAACATGAAGTAAAGAATTTGTATCCTGCCATCAATGGCAGTACAGAAGAAAGAGGGGAGGGGTACCTTTAGTTTATAACCATTGAGTATGGCTCAAGGTCAAGAATACATATTGCAAAACAGAAAGAAAAAAACCATAATCTCAGGTTTCAGTGCGATCTGGAAAACTCTGCTGCCCATACACACAGAATGGGGAAATTACTAGTTAAAAGGGAGAGAGAAAGGAAGAGCGAGGAGGGGAGTGATGGGGGACACTTTCCACCAAAGCCATCAGCTTACAGCGCTGGGTTTCTGATGGGGAGGAGACATGCTATAATCCACAAAGCAGCCACTAGCAATCACGTCGAACAAACTGAATTAAAATTAAATTTACCTTCGATCTCCTCATCTTCTTCCTCTTCTTCGTCCTCATCCTCGCTAGAATCGCTGACCTGCACAGTTATGTCGGTGCTGGTTACCGGGGTCCAGTCAAAATAAACTCCAAAACCAATATCATAGTCATCGGTTGCGAATTCCCAGCAGACGCGCTTTCCCTCGGGATGGGTGGGGACCCGGATGGTGACCACTTCTCCCCGCTTCACCACCAGACGGCTGTTCTTCTCTTTGCCCAGCTTGCTTTTGAACTCCTTCACTTTGGCAAAGGTCCAGATGCATGGAGGCGCCATCAGAGGTGGAGAGACTGAAAGAACAGACAGTACTGCTGAGAAGGGGAATGCTCCTGGAACTGGATGTTCTTTCTAACGGCGGCCATCACTTCCTTCACACCTTTGTCTGGCCTTCCATCTGTCTTCCGTCCTTCAAGCATCTACTCGAAATGACTGCAAAGGTCTCACCTTTCCTGTGCTCCCCCAGAAGATCTGCAGACTCCAAATCTGTTGAGAGGACATCGACAGCTCCAGTGTGCTCGGACTGGATCATGACCATGTCTTCGGGTCGCTGTGGAGCTTGGTACTTGGCCATCTGCACAACAGAATTGTGGTTAGAGGGCTCAGGGTGGCAGATTCCAACCAGCCTCTTTCCAAATACAGGGGCGTCACTCTCCCCTGATAACCACAACCCAAAAGTTAATGGGCTAATCAACATTCCTTCTCTCTACCAAGTACAAGTTACCCCCAAATTCTCCTTTTTAACATCAACAAAATGTCCCCTAAAGATTCTTTTCTTCTGTCTCTTGCAACTTTAGAAAAGTCCTAACCCCATCCCTGCCCTCTCCCCGCCACCGCGCCGCTTCAGAACCTCTGCAAAAAAGGAATAAAAATGGCTTCTTTTACAAAAAGCCCTCACTAACCCACCCAGAAGGTGCCAGCACTCTAGAGGGATTTCCCTCCACATCACTACACTGTGTTCCTCGTTTTGTGTTATTATGTCTTTATTTCCTGCTCCTTCCCCAGCTGGTAGACAACTCAACAAGAAATCTATGCCGCCTGCCCACAGGAGAGAGCAGTCATTGAATCAGCAAGCCAGATAAGAGGCTGGGATTGTACTTGTACAAGTAAATCAAGTTTGTGGTCCTCCCCCAGCTGTATTCTCACAAGATCTGTTTCAGGGAACAAGCCCTTCCATTCTCAGCCACGCAGCTAAGTAAATTGAACCAGATCTTGGCTAGCGAGTTTACAGGAAACCCTTCCTCTTACACCGTGGATTTAATTTGCCTCTTAATTAGCGGCACAGTCTTAGTAGACCTTTCGGCCTTGGTCTCCACAGTTGCTAAATGGGGACTCTGGTATTCATCTCACAAGACTGTGATCAACAGGGAATGAAATTTGTAAACAAAAGTTCATATAAACTACCAAGCATTATGCAAAAGGTATATGTTTAATGTCTTTATTGACACAAATTCTAATTATTACATCATTAACAATGAAAATAATAACACAACTCATCCCTACCTGCCCTGCCCCTGTGTCAAAGGCATCACAAGTTATGGACACCACTTCTATAAACTCTACATAAATACAGAATGACTTTGGGCTGCTCGCATCAAGGTTTTAGAGAACATGAAACATCCGTTCTAGCACTTCTTTTGCATGCTAACACAATGACAGGCTGTGTGAGAGAGACAGATAATTAATTATCCAAATAATTAGAACTGAGATGTCTCACAGGGGTGTCCATCCCGTATCCCCTGGAATGCATGAAGCCCAAAGTTACTTAAAACACTGCAGTTTCAAAAAAAAAAAATCTGAAGCTCAAGAATGTGCAAGTGTGAACTTGATAGATGAGGACACATGTTGGACACACCTGCTAGGAGTGACAGGATTCTGAGAGCCACCACCTCAGCAGTGCCATTTCCAATCCACCATGTGCCTAAGTTGGGTACCAGAAGCTCCCCTTTCTCTAAGAGAGAACCTGGATTCTCCCCTACCTCAGTGTGTACCTGAGCTTGGCCTGCTGGCAGCAACTCCTGCTCCCCCGGAGCCTGAACCTTGGAAGCACCAGCCGCTTTCTGTAGACCCTCCGTGGTATCCTTACTCGCTGGAGATACCATCTGTGGCCTCTCAGAAGAAGAAAACATGTCAGTTCAAGGGGTCTTCAAGAGGCATAACCATTCCAGAGGAACTCTGAAATAAAATAACATTCAAAAGACACCCCACCCCTCCTGATTTTATATTTAGGTCCATGTCACTTCAGCTGACCACTGCCCAGTCAGTAAGGACACAGGAATAGACAAAGCCAGTCTTCAGGCTCTAGAGCCACAGTAAACACAGTGCAGTCATCAGATGGACTCAAGGTCTGGTCTTCTTTGTTGCCATGTTTTATTTATTTAATTGACAAATTTAAAATGTGCATGTCTGTGGCATAAAGTATGATGCTGTAATATATGTAGATACTGTGCTATGATCAAATGAGGCTAATTAACATATTCATCAATTCACATACTTAACTGATGTATTATAAACACATTCTTAATTTACTCCTTATAGTTTTGAGTGTAAATGTATTTTTTATTATTATTATTATTATTATTATTATTATTATTATTAAGTCCAGCATCTCCCACTCCACTGTGTACCAACTCCTGGTAACGATCATTCTGCTCTCTCTTTCTAAAACGTGTGTGTGTGTGTGTGTGTGTGTGTGTGTGTGTGTGAGAGAGAGAGAGAGAGAGAGAGAGAGAGAGAGAGAGAGAGAACAACACCTGTGCTCATATGAAGACCCCAAAGAGGACATCTGATCCCTGAGAGCAGAAATTAAAGTATTTGCAGGATACCTGGCTTGTTACACCAGTACTGGGAACCGAACTCCAGTCTCCACGATTGTGCAGCAAGCAGCCTTAGCCACTGAGCCATCTCTGCAGCCCAGCTGCTCTCTTCTATGGGTCTAGTTTTATTTCTCTCTCACTATTTGTTCCACCCAGAATTTCAATAAACAGTTTGGATCACAGGTGGTTTCTATACAAGTCACACAGAGATGAGGCTGCCTACCGCAGAGACTAGCCACCAAACAGAAAGTGTCCGCTGATTAATCACAGGGATATAAAAGTAATTGACAACTGCTGGAAGGGGTGAGACTTTTTCTCCTGTGATGCAGCCATCCATAAGTTGCCCATGGTCCATGCTCTAATTAAACTCGGTGGCTCACCAAGCTACACTTGGGTAGAAGTGATTGTGTCCTTGGTGTCCTCCCTGGGGTGAGCAGCTGGGTTTGCTCATGTCTCCCTAGGAAAAGCTCACGGACAGGGATGAGTTATGCTGCCTTCCATTTCCCCTGGCTTCAGAGAGACGAGAAAATGAGTAACGAGCCAGGGCAGAGGCTCAGTTCCCCAGACCTCCTCAGAATCTACTGCCAGTAAAAGGTGACGACGTGGGTTTTATTTTTAAAGCAGGAGTATAAAAGCATGGTATGGGGACCCCTGTAAGACTTAGGATCCTCCGGGGTGCCTGACACTGTAAAACCTTTCCAGACTACTAAAATACCGTTCTCTTTCTTGCATTTTCTGAAGTAGGCGATGGAAATTCCCAGAGACTCCATGACATGTGGCAGTATGCTAGAGTGAATCAAGAGGCAGAAGTGGGAATTCAATTGTCGTTTATTAAACCAGACATTAGAGGGCTTTGTTCTTCCTTCTGGGCTATCTTTGCTTTAGAATATGATTGTTTAGATCTCCTGGGTAAATTGGGAGCATGGGGACCCTGGGAGAGGGTTGAAGGGGAGGGGAGAGGCAGGGAGGGGAGCAGAGAAAAATGTAGAGCTCAATAAAAATCAATTAAAAAAATGGATAGTGAAAACAAGAATCTGCTTTTCATTAAAGACATTATTTATAGTAGTATGTAGTGAGTTAATTATTATTTTCAAATGAGTAAAATAACTACATTATAATTTTCAGTCTTAATTGTTAATACAATTTTTAAAAATTTGGAGGTCTTTTAAGACAATGTTTTACTCTGTAGTCCACACTGACCTCAAACTTGTAGTGATCCTACTGCCTCAGCCTCCTGATGCTGGTGCCAGGTGTGAGCCACCACCACACTTAGCTCTAATATAATCAATAAAAAATTTTTTGAGGTCTTCACTAATTATTCAAATTGTAAATATCTGAAAGCCCCATGCTTTTAAGGTTATCAGTACCATTGTTTTCTTTGGGAGCATAAATAAGAAAATTCATTTTTAATCATAGACTATCTCTTCTTCAGATAAAGCGGGAGTATGAAGATAACCATCTTTTAGAATACCCAAGTCATGCCAGACTACCTCAGAGCCCCTGAGAAAGGTGATGAATCGAAACCAGGCCTGCTTAAATCATCTCACGTACGTGGGAAATTGGTGAATGACATTCATTCTTAGAACCTAGGAACTTCAGTCCATGCTTTTTCCTTGTCCTTCACTAGAAGGCAAGCTGTATGCTGGGACCTGGGCCTCACTCGCTGTGTGCCTGGCCCCTCAAACCAACCCTGAATGTGGAACTCTCACACCCTATGAACTGTGACCTTGTGCCTTCAATTTCCACTTTGCCCAGATCACTCACAGTGACTGCTTGGATCTTGGCTACACCTCAGTACCTCAAGCACACTCCTGCTTGGGAGCTTTGCACTCACTGTAGCCTCTGTCTGCATGAATAATACAGTTTACACAGGTGAAGGCCACTGATGAAACATGCTATACACGTGTTTTCTGGCTGCCATCCTCACCAGGGTGTAAGTCATAGTCAGTATCTGAGGATGGTCACATAGTCTACCGTTTTGCTCCTTTCTTTGTAATTTGGAGGATGCCTGACAGAGATGCTAATTCAAGCCTACAAGACAGCTAGCATACAGAGCAGATAGGCAGATGCAGATGTGACAAAAAGCCATTCACCTGGTTACCTAGGAGACAGAATGCTGGTGTATTTCCCACTCAGTTTATGTTTTGGTATAAAAGCTGTTTGGAGAATAAAAACCGAGGAATTCTTCAGGATGTGAACTCAGGACTTCATGAGAGACCACTGAGAATCTCCCTCCCGATAAAGCCATGTGAGTTGTGTCTTTATTCCCACACCTCTACGCCGGTCCAGAGAGATAGTTTATGTTAGGGTCTGGTCAAGAAAAATAATTGAGGGTCCGGGCTAGCATCGAACCCCGACACTTCCTATTACGCTAAGACTTAGTATAACCTTCCTTCCTACCATATACATATCAGTGAAAGTGATGAATTAGAGAAGAAAATTATGAATGACAGCCTAAAGGCTACACAGAGAAACTCTGTCTCAAAAAAATCAAAAAACAAAAAAAAATGAGGTGCATACTCTGACAGGGGGGTGGTGATGCATCCCTTTAATCCCAGCACTCGAGAGGCAGAGGCAGACGGAGCTCTGTGAGTCTGAGGCCAGCCTGGTCTACAGAGGGAGTTCCCGAACAGCCAGGGTAACTCAGAGAAAACTTGTCTCGAAAAACCAAAAAGGAGTGACCGCCTAGGAGCTGCAGAGATGGCTCAGCAGCCAAGAGCATTTTCTGTTCTTTCCTAGGAACTCAGTTTGGTTGCCAGCCCCCAGGTCAAGCAGCTCACAACTACTTACAACTCCAGCTCCGGAGGATGTGAGTCCCTCTTCTGGCCCCTACAGGCACTAAACATATACATGGTACACACACATACATGAAGGCACTCACACATATACATAAGATAAAAATAAACAGATAATGTAGAAAAAGAATGACAGTCTAAAGGTTATACAATGGCTTAACCTGACAAGTCACATAAACACTGTAGCTTGTCTCACCCCTTAAAATCACCGCCTACTTTATTCTCAGAGGACAAAGCAACTGCATGTCCCTACCTGTAGGGTGAGGGCCAGGGTTCTGGATCAGAGGCAGAAGCCAGTGGAGAGCTGACCTTGGTGTTTTCTAGATCTTCTTTCTCTAGAAAATCATGGAGAGAATTTATTCTTTGAGAGGAAACACTAACACACACCTGTAGTCCAGTTCTTGGGAGGTTGAGGCAGGAAGATCAGGAGTTCAAGGCCAGCCTTAGCTACACAGAGTTTATGGCCAGCCTAGGGCTACCTGAAACCTTGTCAAAATTTTTTTTTTTGGGTTTTTCTTTCTTTCTTTCTTTATTTATTTATTTATTAAATATTTCTGTCTCTTCCCCACCTCCGCCTCCCCTTTCCCTCCCCCTCCCCCAATCCATTCCCCCTCCCTCGTCAGCCCAAAGAGCAATCAGGGCTCTCCGTCCCGTGGGAAGTCCAAGGATAACCCTCCTCCGTCCAGGTCTCGTAAGGTGAGCATCCAAACATCCTAGGCTCCCACAAAGCCACTACATGCAGTAGGATCAAAAACCCATTGCCATTGTTCTTGATGTCTCAGTAGTCCTCATTGTCCGCTTTGTTCAGTGAGACCGGTTTGAACCCAGGCTTTTTCAGACCCAGGTCAGCTGGCCTTGGTGAGTTCCCGATAGAGCATCTCCATTGTCTCAGTGTGTGGGTGCACCCCTCGCGGTCCTGAGTTCCTTGCTCATGTTCGCTCTCCTTCTGCTCCTGATTTGGACCTTGAGATTTCAGTCCAGTGCTCCAATGTGGGTCTCTGTCTCTGTCTCCTTTCATCGCCTGATGAAGGTTAATATGCAGGAGGATGCCTATATGTTTTTCTTTGGGTTCTCCTTCTTATTTAGCTTCTCTAAGAACCCGAATTATAGGCTCAATGTCCTTTATTTATGGCTAGAAACCAAATATGAGTGAGTACATCCCATGTTCCTCTTTTTGGGTCTGGCTTACCTCACTCAGGATAGTGTTTTCTATTTCCAAAAAAAAAGTCATTGCATAAATCTCATCCTATATAAAAATCAATTCAGAGGGCTGGAGAGATGGTTCAGAGGTTAAAAGCACTGGCTGCTCTTCCAGAACAGCTGGATTTGACTCCCAACCCCCAAATGGCAGGTCACAAATGCCTCTAACTCCTGTTCCAGGGCATTCAACATCTTCTCCTGGCTTCCAAGGACACATAAGGTGTACTTATGTACACATGGGCATTAATACACATAGAATAAAAACTTTAAGAAATAAATTAGAAATAGTTCAAAGATCTTAGTATAGGACTAAAAGTTTTCAAATTACTGGAGAACGCGCAGGAAAACAGTTCATGATACAGTCATAGCAACAGTTTTCTGAAAGAACCCCAACAGTCCAGGAAATAACAGCAAGAATTAACTCACGGAGTTGTAAGGAATTAAGAAGCTTCAACACAGCCAAGAAACAATTCTCAGAGTAAAGGGACAGTCTACCAAGAGGGGGTCATGTCAAGAATATATAAATTAAACCCATACACACAAATAATCTAGATAGTACATGGGCAAATAAACAGATAGTTCTCAAAAATGAGATACACATGGCCAGTAAGTAGACAAAAAAAAAAAGGAAAAATGCTCAACACCCCTAGCCATCAGAAAAATGTAAATTAAAACTTCAGTGGGATTTCATTTCTTCCAGGATGGACTGCTATCATAAGGAGGGGTAAAAGCTTATATATTGCTGGTGAAGCCACTGTGGAGCCTCCGCCTGAGCCTTTCTTCAAACAACTGAACAGAAGGGCTGAGTGGTTAAGAACAATTGCTGCAAACTCGGGAGCACCGAGTTTAGGCCTTGATTCCCATATAACAAGCCAGGCATGCTATGTACATCTGTAACCCTGGCACCAAGGAAGATAGAAACAGGAGCATTGCTGGGGCTTGCTGGCTTCCAGCCTAGCCATGAAAATGAAAGCCCCAGGTTCAGGGAGAGATCCTAACTCAAAAGAATAGGCAAAGCATAACAGAGAACACCTACTGCCCTCTTCTGGCCTCCCTTCACGTACATGCGAGCATATACAGACACATAAATACATACATGCATACATAAACTAATTAAAAACATATACAGACACATAAATATACGCATGCATGTATACATACATACATAAACTAAAAACAGAACTACCATATGATCTAGATATACCACTACTGGGTAACTGACCCACAAGAATCTAAGTCAGCATATTCTAGGAATACCTGCACACACATTTATTCACATTTATTTTATATATAAATTATAGATAGATAGACAGACAGACAGACAGACAGACAGACAGACAGAGATAGAGATACCCATCAGATAGTAATAGTCTAATGGCAGAAGGCAACCTTGGCGGGTTGGAATCAGGAGGTACCACAAAGTCACACCATGCAACTGGGCTCACATGGGAGGTTTATTGGGGGAGGATGCAGAGGCGGCCTCTGAGAGAGAGAAGGCAAGGGGTTGGGGGATATAGCGCATGGGCATAGGGAAAGTGCTCTACTTAGTGGCTGTAGTAGCTACAATGTCACATCTTGAATGCTGCTGATGACATGTCCTGCTAGGTCCCCCTGAGTGCAGATCAGTGTAATAAATGCCTGAATGCTAATACAGTTGATTTTTCTTTTTTTCATGTGTATGTATGTATGGTGTTCACACATGGATGTATCTGTATTCACTTGTGCGAGCACATGCATGTGTTTGGACAATCTTTTTTTTCCTTTCTTTCTTTCTTTTTTTTTTTTTTTTTTTTTTTTTTTTGCAAGATAAAAGTTTTTCTATAGCTTTGGACCCTGTCCTAGAAATCTCTTTGTAGATCAGGCTGGCCTCGAACTCACAGAGATCCACCTGCCTCTGCCCCCCACATGCTGGGATTAAAGGCGTGCGCCACCACCACCTGGCTGTGTGTGTGGACAACTTAAATTAACATTAGTTGTCTTCCTCAATTGCTATCTACTGCTTACTGAGGACTTAAACATCTTTCTCGCTTACTTCTTGCTTACTCCTTGAGACTTTCCTTGTACACAGAGTTGAGTGCATTTACACATTCCCTATTCTAACCCTCTGCATAAAGTCAAAGAAACTGAAGCTCTAAGTCTACTTCCTAAAATAAGATACAATGTAATAAAGTATGCCTCAAACAATGTAAAAGTGAAGATAAGGGCCAATATTTACAAATTAACCTTCACCCTGTCTCTACTTCTCCATGATAGGATCTACTGACCAGTCAGTCCATCTGTGTCTGTCCATCCATGTCATATCCGCCCTGTTCCCCAACCCTGGGATGCTCAGGGATGGGATGTCTTCATGAGCACAGGAGTGTACTGCTGGTCAGAGAATGAGTTAGTTCTGCTTTCCCAACTTCGTTATCACCTGTTCTTTTGTCTTTCAGCCCCTAGATTTCCCAGGCTCTATCTACAACTACAAGAAACAAAGCTTTGTTCACTATAAAGTATTTAATCTCAGGCTGAGGAAAGCTGAATGTTTGCCTAGTGTGAATAAGGCCCTAGACTCAATCCCTAGCATTGGAGGGAGGGGTGCGAGGCTACAACTCAACGATAGAGTCCTTGCCTCATAAGCCTGAACTAGATTAAATGTGAACGTTGACAAAAATAAGAGTATAAATTATCCAGTCTAGTTACAGCAGCACAAAATGGATTAAGATAAAATGAAGCCACACACAGCATGCTGCTTACAAGAGCTGCCCCTCAGACGGCTACACTTGTATCAGAGAAAACGGATTCAAGCTGGACACAGAGGTGCATCCCTGTAATTCCAACATTTGGGAGGCTGAGAACTTCTGTAAATTCAACACCAGCCTGGGTCACAACAATAAGACCTTGTCTCAAAAAAAAAAAAAAAAAAAAAAAAACATAAGACCCTATAAGACAGCCAAAGCTATTACTTAATGACAAAGGGGCCAACCATTCATAAGAACATACTAACTCAGAAGGCTGAGGCAGAAGAATCAGGAGTTTAAGACTAGTTTAAGCTTCATAGGGTGACCCTGTCTCAAAAAGCCACAAAAACAAAACAAATAACAATAGTTCAAGAGTTTACTTCGTGTGTTTTAAAATAAAATAGCTGATTATGGGCATGCACACCATGCTCTCATCCCTAATGATGGGAATCAGTGTTATTTCCAGTTTTTATTCCATTAAAATATTACAAATTGTGCTATAATGCCTTATGTGCATTTCACATTTTTTGCCAGGCTGTCATCTTTGGCAGAGACTGCCTATGATTCTGCTTTCACAACAGCAATAAGTGAATGCCTGTTTTCCTACAATTCAACATCAGAGTGAAATATGTAAGCCATTGATGAAATTGACAAAATTCAACTTGTGACAAATGTTGCCCTATTTTTCTTTCTCTGAGACAGGTCTCACTATGTTGCCCAGGTTTGAGCTTCTGGACTCAAGTATTCATTTGACCCTGGCTTCCTGAATTGCTGGGACTACACGCCCAACTTGGTATCCGTGAGAGTTAATGCCTATTGTCAACTTGGTAAGTTGATACATTTGTATCAGATAAAAGCAAGCTAGAAGCACTCCAGAGACAAGCCTCTGTACATGCCAATGAGGAATTACCTAGGTCAGGTTGGTCTCTGGGCTTGCCTGGGAAGAACCATCTTGACTGTGTTAACTGGAGTGAGAAGACCCACTCTAAAAATAGGCGGCACCATCCCCTGGGCTTGAGTCACAGACTGCATAAGAAGGAGGGAGCCAGGGAGCACCCCATCCTATTTCCTACGTGGATGCAACTGGACCACATGACTGGCACCTCGAGCTCCAGCCACCAGGGTGGTCTGAATTAGAATGGCCCATGGAGCTGTGTGTTTGAATGTTTGGTCCCTAGCTGGTGGAACTGTTTGGGAAAGGTTAGGAGGTGTGGCCTTTTTGGAGGAGGTGTGCCACTGGGGGTGGGCTTTTATGTTTCAAAAAATACGTGTCATTCCCAGTTATCTACACATACCCCTCCCTCTCTATCTCTGTGTCTGGCTTATGGGTCAGATGTAAACTCTCAGCTAATGTGGGATACCCCTCTGTATGCTGTGAATATGTTTTATTACCATTGGATAATAAAGAAGCTGCTTTGGCCTATGGCTGGGCAGAATATACCTAGGTGGGAAATCCAAGCAGAGAGACAGGGAGAAAGAAGGCAGAGTCGAAGAGACACCAGCAGCCACCAGGGGAGTAAGATGCCATAACATTACCAGTAATTACACAGGGCACATGAAGATAAATAGATTATAAGAAATGGGCTAATTTATATGTAGAGCTAGTCAGGAAGAAGCCTGAGCCATCCACCAAACTTATAATTAACACTAAGCGGCTGCGGGAACCAGCAGGTGGCAGAGAGACCATGCAGTGGACCAGACAGGACAGAGAAAAGAATTCCCGCTACACTCAGCCACTACTCCAGGGTCATGCCTGCTGCCACGCCTGCAGCATGACAGTCATGGACTCACCCTTAGAAACTGTATGTAAGCCCCCGACTAAATGTTTCCTTTATAAGGTGCCTTCATCATGGTGTCTCTTCACAGCAATAGAAAAATAACTAAGAAACTCCCCATGATGGAGCATATCCTTGAACTGTGAGCAAAACTAAACCCTTTCTCTAAGTTGCTTTTGTCAGGGTCAGGGTATTTTATCATAGCATCAAGACAAGTAGCTAAAATAATACATTACTTTTAATTTTTGTTTATTCTGATTAAGTTAGAACACACATATATATGCATATCTATATATCTTTGATTTTGCTTCCTTATAAGAAACCCCCAGAAATGAAATTCCTTGTTACAGGGTCTGCCGTCAAGACTCTCATACCCACTACCAACTTCTCTCCAAGTTTCACTTCTGCTAGCATTACATAAATGTGACCGTTTTCCATATCACAATGTGAACACAATCTTTACCAATCTGTTAGACAGAGCATGACGACACACTATCATTTTTACTTAAATTTTTTAAATAATTTATGTCATCAAAACAGATCCTTAACTGGATGGCGGTGGCGCATGCCTTTACATCCAGCACTCAGGAGGCAAAAGCAGCCAGATAGAAGCCAGATTGGTCCACAGAGTGAGTTCCAGGACAGCCAGGGCTACACAGAAAAACAAACAAACAAAAAAAAATTGTGGTAGTTTAAATGTGACTGGCCCCCATAACCTCATAGGGAGTGGCACTATTAGGAGGTGTGGCCTGGTTGGAGGAAGTGTGTCACTATGAGAGGGCTGTGAGCTACACCTAGTTCAGTTCACTTCCTACTGACTGCATATCAAGATGGAGGACTCTCAGTCCTTCCCCAGCACCATGTCTGCCTGCACGCCTCCATGTCCCGCCATGGTGACAATGAACTAAACCTCTGAAAATGGAAGCCACCCAATTAAATGTTTTCCTTTTTAAGAATTCCTGTGGTCATGGTGTCTCTTCACAGCAACAGAAACCCTAACTAAGACAAAAACAAAAACCAATGCATATAAAATAATTTCCCTTTTTTCTTTAAAAAAACAGGCTCATACCAAGTACACCATTAGATTTTTCGCTCAGTATTAACCTTTTTGTGTATATGTGCATTATGTGTGCAGGTGTTGACATGTGTGCAGGGACATGTGTATGTGTGTGTGGAGGACAGAAGTCAACCTTAAATTTCTTCCCCAATCACTCCGCCTTTTGACTTGATTTGATTTGAGATAGGGTCTCAGGAAGCGTCACTGGCTGTCCTGGAGCTTGCTATGTAAACCAAGCTGACCTTGAATTCACAGAGGTCTGCCTGCCTCTGCCTCCACAGAGAGCTGGAATTAAAGCTGTCCACCCCCACACTCAGCTCTCTATCCATATATGTAGTTTTTAATTTATGTGTGCGTGTCTGTGTATACATATGTGTGTGAGAGAGACATGTGAGTACACATATGCACGCCATCGAGTAAATGTGGAGTTCAGAGGAAATCTGCCAGAAGTCAGTTCTTGCCCTCACCTTGTTCTGAGGTAGGTTCTCTCTTGCTGCTGTACTGCGCATTCGCCCATCTCTGCCACCAGAGAAGTGTTGGGATATCAGAAGTGTAGTCATGTGCAGCTCTTTACGTGAGTTCTGGGGTTCAGTCATCAGCTTATGGAGCGAGTGATTTACCCCTGAGCCGACTCTCTGGCTCCTACCGAGATAGGCTCTTACTGGAGTTCACCAACCAGCTCGACTGGCTGGGCGGCAAACCCCGGGGATCCTCCTGCCTCTGTTTCCTCAGCACTAGGATTACAGTTGCATTCCCGGCTTTTTACATGGTATTAGAGACCTGAACTCAGCAAGGACTTTCCCAAGTGATCTCCCTAGACCTGAGCTTTCACCCACTTAAAACAGAGCATGGAGTCTGTCCTTCAGTTATCACGCTGCCAATCGGTTTGTGTAATACCCAGGAGTCACATCAAAAAATTAAAAAAGGCTCTGAGTTAATGACTACCTCGACAAACAGACCCCTGCATGCTACATGCCAGGTACTGTGTTTAGATGCTGTGAACACAGAGGTAAATGTGGACCTTCAAAGACTCGGTCTACAGGAGAAAGTAAACTGGAAAGCAGGTCATTGTAAATACGCGATACTGTTAGAATTATTAACTCAACTACCACAGAAATGCTTAACAAGTGGACAGGCATCAAAGGCTTCCTGAAAGAGAGGATAATTACACTGTCTTAATGAGTAAGTAGGACCCAGCCCAGTCAGATGGAAAGGATGCTGCAGGCAAAGGAAACTAAGGGAGACAAAGCATTGCAAGCGCTCTCGCTCTCTCTCTCTCTCTCTCTCCCTCCCTCCCTCCCTCCCTCCCTCCCTCCCTCCTTCCCTCCTTCCCTCCCCCCCTCTCTCAGCAGCAGAGCATTTGCCTGGCATATACCAGGCCCCAGATTCAACCCCCACCCACCTATCCCTCAAAAAACCTTGAGAAAACAGATTTCATTAATTTAAATCAATTCTTCCTGAATTCCTAAAAAGTGGTCAAATTTGTATGTTTGTGTACAGTTTTGTGGCAGCCATCTGACCAGACAGAAAACTTCTGAAATAGTCCACAGAGGACAGAGGATCCAACGAGTAAGAGAAGCTGAGACAGACTAGAGAGGATACAATTGTGCAATAACTAGGTAGCCAAATTTTGGTGCACTGATGCTGGCTTCTAAGGGCTTTCATTTTCTTTCCTAAGGGCTAAGAAACTACCTGAGACATATCCTAGAGCCTTGGGAATTGAGATCTAGTTTAATGGCATAGATCTGAAGTCCACCGTCTTCTCTGGTAGAATAGCTGGTAGGTATCTACTTCTGACCCTTAGCGACCCTCAGTGGTGACATGAGCTGTATCTGCAGGTCCCTCAGGATGGCAGGTGCAGCCGTCATTTGCCAACCTTTTGGCTTCTAAACACCCAGCCATCTCCCCGCTGTTTCATCCTCAGTGAAGAATGAAATGAAAGACCTTCAATTCCCAGCCCCAGAAAGTCAGGGGACAGGCACATAACCTAGTGTCCCTGCCTGGGACCTGAAACAGGACTGGCATACGAGCCGAGTTCTCGCAGGGCTAGAGCACGCACACTGTTCCTGTGTGATGTCTGGAGTCTCACTCTCGCCTTGGTGAGTCCTCCTTACCCCTCTAATAAATCTTCTTGCTGCTTAGGGCAATTAGAATTAACCTCTGTTGGGCTGGAGAGATGGCTCTGTGGTTGGGAGCGTTGCCTGCTCTTCGGAAGGTCCTGAGTTCAATTCCCGGCAACCACGTGGTGGCTCACAGCCACCTGTAGGGAGGTCTGGTGCCCTCTTCTGGCCTGCAGACATTCACACAGACAGAATATTGTATACATAATAAATAAATATTAAAAAAAAAAAGAATTAACCTCTGTTGCTTGCAACAAGAAACCTAACAAAAACCCCTACATACAAAATTGCATTTGGAATTTAAATTTAAAGGCATCTTGTTCTCATCTGATTATCTTTATTGTTCTTGAAAAGATTGATAATTGTTATTTTCTAAGCCACTTGCAGGTATCAACCACTCCTGGGTTTATTTATGACCTCTGTTTATAAGGCTGCCAAATTACATGAGAGCCATTTGTGGTGCCCCCAAAACAAGTTCCATATTAACATCAACACAGATCACTCAACACATAACACTCAACACAGATCACCACTAATATACATAACAATGAATGCTTGAAATATTGTGAGAATTACCAGAATAGAACCACAATAATAAGTAAGAACACGCTAGTAGAAAAACATACTTGCTGAACACATCTATGCAGTACAGGATGGTCAAGATGCCGCTATCGGTGAAGTGTAATAAAGTGGAGCGCCATAAAACAAGCTTTTTAATACTGCTTAGGACCCAGCCGTTCTGCAAAGCAAGCCTTCCTATGCTTGACGTATTTTAGAGCCTTTTCAGCCTTTCATTTGTATATACACTCTAGAACCCCCCCAAAGAGAAAATGCCAAAACTCCTCTGGGTTTACTCCTGACATCGCATTTAATACGGAGTCAGCCTGGGAATAAACTTTATCTCTATAATCTTACTACATCCACAAAGCGTGCTTCCGCTCACTTACTCATGTATGAGCGAGCAGGAGAGACTAACTCACCCACCCAGGCCGGCCTCAGACTCACTAGACAGCTAAGCCCTTTAGGTATTTAGATACCCTTTATTTTCTCTCAATAACATATATCATCTACAGAAGGTTTTGTATAGATGACTGAGCTAGTCACTCTATGGTAACTGCTACGGTTTGAATATGGTTTAGGTCTGTGTAAAGGTTCAAGCATACGGAACTTATGCCCCAGGGTGAAGACATTGAAAAATGAGTGGACTCTGAAGAGGTAGGCCTAGAGGGAGGGCTTTGATTTGGGGAGGTATGTGTTTTGGGTTTTGTTGTTTTCTTTTCTTTTCGAAACCTCATAGGGGCAACTCTAGTCCACAAAGAAAATAGCAGGACCACTGAAAAAATGCAAAAAAAAAATCAGCAAAAATAAATAAAATTAGTAAGGTGCGCACAGCTCAGGTCTCACAACTAGAATTTGGGGGAAGGGAAGCAAAGCCTCATCCAAAAGATGAAGTCCTGGTGAAGGCAGGCACCCCACCCACAGAAGCAGCCTACAGTTCTCACAAGCCTCAAACCCAACTGCGGTTGGGACCCAGCGACTGCTCTGGTGAGATGGGTCACTAGGAGAAAGGACTTCCTCTGTCACTTACTGTGCCTCTGTGCTATTGCTGAGCACGATCAGATCAGAGAGGAACCTATTATTTAATCCTTGCTACCCTGGGGATACAGGGAACAATAACCAGTCAGGAAGACACAGCTCTAGACTAAGTGACTACTGAGGGAGGGGGTCCTGGAGAGCAGGGAGGAGGGCCAGATGCTCACAGGATGAAAAAGAACAAGCAGCAGGAGGCTCCAACCAACTACACAGTTAAGATTTGGGGGCGGAGGATGAAGGCAACGGCTATGGGCTAACCTCATCATCTGAAAATGATTTTGGAGTTGGATAACCTTCCGTCTGAATTTTGGGGTGGGGGTGTCAGACTCTGATGCCAAACATTTGCTATGAGCCCCAGATAAGAATTCTGGGGCTCCGGTGGACTGTGAGAAACTGACAACCACATCTCTCCAGCATGGTATCAAAGCTTAGTGGGTCTGAAAAGTAGGGAGACCAGTCCTCTTACAAAGATCTCCATACTGTGTGTGCTTCCGCAGGAGGAAGTCCCGCCTGGAACATGAGTCACCCCAGGGGACATCAAGTGGGGATTCTTGGGAGGGTGACAGAACCCAACTGTTCCACGAGCTGAAGTAACCAGCAGAGGCCCCCATGCCCCAGGAAAGTGCAGTTCAAAGTGAAGTGAGCTATCACAGACAGCAGGCACTACACCACAAACACGGCAGGAAAGACCAAAGTCTACAAACACAACTGACAGGCGACAGCCCAGCAATGCACCTGGCAGGCTTGGGCTGTTTTGTATGTGCACGGTGTTCACATGCGCATGGGTATACAAATACACATGATGTGAAAGAGGAACTATGTGGGAAGAGGAAAGAGTCTACGGAAGGGGGAGGGTAAAGAGTGTAGTGAGGGGTAAGAAAGGCAAAATGTCACACTTTCTCTCATCTATGGCCTCTGTGTCTGCACACACACACACACACACACAAACGCACGCACTCACGCAGGTGCGTGTGAAAAGAATGGAGAGGGAGCAGCAAGAGAGGGAGAAGAGCAATGAGGAAGAGTGCAGAGCAAATATAAGTAAAGCATTCTAGAATTAATAAAAATCGTTAGTAAAAGCACATGGAGCTGGAGAGGTGGCTCGGCAGCTGGGAGCACGTGTTGCTCTTCCTAGGACCCACACAGTGGCTCGCAACCATCTGACTCCAGTTCCGGGGGCTGTGGGTACACACGTGGTGCACAGACATGCATGCAGGCATTCACATGACACATTTAAAAACAATAATAAATAAATAAAAATTACGAAAAAGTAAGGAGCTAGAGAGAGGAGTTCAGCAGTTAAGAGAGCAGATTGCTCTTACAGAAGGTCTGGGTTCCCATGTTGGGGTAAGGGGCTCGAAACTGCCTGTAACTCCAGTTCCAGGGCATCCCCCACACATAATTAAAAACAAAAATAAATCAGGCAGTGGTGGTGCACACCTTTAATCCCAGCACTCGGGAGACAGAGGCAAGCAGATCTCGGTGAATCTGAGACCTGTCCAGAACAGCCAAAGCTACAGAGTGAGATTATCTCAAAATAAAATTAAATTAATGAAATCATTAGGTGTACTACCAAAATAATTACTAATGAGATGATTTTGTTGGCAATGGTACATTATGAAAGTAGATAACTGGTCTTTTTATTTTTAAAAGAAATCCTAGCTGGGCATGGTGGCGCATGTCTTTAATCCCAGCAATCAGGAGGCAGAAGCAGGTGGCGCTCCAGTCCAGCCTGGTCTACATAATGAGTTCTAGGGCAGTCAGAGCTACATAGTGAGATCCTGTCTTGAAAAAAAAACAACCAAACAAAAAAAAAATCCTAATATATTTTTAAATTAACAATGAATTGGTTTAAAACAAAATGTAAACTATAACAAAGTTAATACTGAAAGATATTGATGACCTCTACTTCATAAAAAAATGAGTTTTAAAAAAATATCTGTCCCTGATATGCAGAAAGACTCCAATTTTAGGGCCAGATGGTGGTGGCAAATGCCTTTAATCCCAGCACTGGGAGGCAGAGGCAGGCAGATCTCTCTGAGTTCAAAGCCAGCCTGGTCTACAAGAGCGAGTTCCAGGACAGGCTCCAAAGCTACAGAAAAAGCCTGTCTTGAAAAACCTAAAAGCACTTGGTTTGCCAGGTAGGGGTGGCACACGCCTTTATTCCCAGTACCTGAGAGGCAGAGGCAGGCGCATCTCTGTGAGTTTGAGGACAGTCTGGACTACAAGAACTAGTTCCAGCACAGGCTCAAAAACTATAGAGAAACCCTGTCTCGAGGGGGGAAAAAAAGACTCAAAAAGACTCCAATTTTAGAAAAGAAACACAGTGAAGAACCTTCTAACATGTTTGTATATGATTTTTTTCTGAATAGGTGATATACTGTTGTTATTCAAAATTCAAAAGTGGTAAAAGTAAGGCGGCGGTGGGCAAGAGACAGAAATCTTTAATAAAAAAAAAAACTAAAAAAAAAAGTGGTAAAAGTATACCATGAAAGCTTCCTTCTATGTTAGCCCCCATCTCCAGAGGACTTGATGCTACTGGGTTTTCAGTAGTCTTCCAGAGAGGTTTTGTGCATGTAAAGGTTATGTGTATGTTTGTGTGAGTACCGTGAAGGATACAGCATACATACGCACATGAATCTCACATTTTCTACACACACCAGGACATCAGACACACTATTCTGCGCATCTTATTCTTTCCAGATACATCTCAGATACTTTCCCCAGCTGTATACAAACATTTTTCTCATTCTTCTCTATAGCAAATATTCCATTTGATAAAAAACAAGTCATTGATTTACGAGTTCTCTATGGATAAACATCTTTTTTTCCAAGTCTTTTCTCACTCCAAAAATGCTGTAATAACCTTGTGTCTACATTCTTAAACAGGAATAAACGTGTAGAATAGTCTGCGCGAAGAAATGGGTCAATGGAAAATATGTTCCAATTCTGTTGGACCTGAGTGAAGTAGTGCTTCTCAACCTGTGGGTCGCGACCCCTCTGGGGGTTGAATGATCCTTTCACAAGGATTGCATATCAGATATTCTGCATATCAGATGTTTATATTATTATATATTATATAATTGCATATCATATTATATCATTTTATATAATATGATATAATGATATGCGATGTAATATGTTATATTATATCACATTACATTATATACTATATAGAAATATAATATAATTAATAAATTATATATTTACATTATATGCATATTGGATATTTACATTATGATTCATAGTAGTAGCAAAATCATAATTACGAAGTAGCAACCAATAATTTATGGCTGGGGGGTCCCCACAACATGAGGAACTGTATTAACGGGTTGCAGCATTAGGAAGGCTGAGCACCACTCCTGCAGAGGAAGCATCAGTATGTTTCTGTGCACCTGCACCAACGCAGTGAGTCATTCCCATTTCTCTTGATCAGTCAGCCTGTGCACGGTTCATATATTAAAAATCACTTCTCGGGGCTGGAGAGTTGGCTCAGTGGTTAAGAGCATTGCCGGCTCTTCCAAAGGTCCTGAGTTCAATTCCCAGCAACCACATGATGGCTCACAACCATCTGTAATGAGGTCTGGTGCCCTCTGCTGGCCTGCAGGCATACACACAGACAGAATATTGTATACATAATAAATAAATAACTATTAAAAAAATCACTTCTCATGGCATCTTTTTTCAAACAGCTTGATGAATGGCAGGAAAAGAAAATGAAAAGGTATTTTTTAAGTTTAAAGGAATGCCCTAGCCGGGCGATGGTGGCGCACACCTTTGATCCCAGCACTCGGGAGGCAGAGGCAGGCGGATATCTGTGAGTTCGAGGCCAGCCTGGTCTACAAGCGTTAGCTACAGGACAGGCTCCAAAACCACAAAACTACAGAGAAACCCTGTCTCAAAAAAAAAAAAAAAAAAAAAAGGAATGCCCTAAATTATGCAAGAGCTGCTGGGCTGCTGGTAAAACAGCTTCCAACTGGATTTGGATGAGCAGGAAGTAAAAAGAGGAAAGAAAAACATAAGTTTATTTCAAAAAGAATAGAGTGTGGGAAGATGGAATGTTGTTTGAGAGACAGGAAAACTCAAGTCCAAACATATCCTTTTAGGTTTCTGAAATCTAGACGATGAAAAAGGAAAAGCCAATTTTCAAGCAGTTCAGACTTTAATTGGCCAATCAAATATAGGCTAATTCTCCATGCATTTCTTTTTTTTAATATTTATTTATTTATTACGTATACAGTATTCTGTCTGTGTGTATGCCTGCAGGCGAGAAGAGGGCACCAGACCTCATTACAGATGGTTGTGAACCACCATGTGGTTGCTGGGAATTGAACTCAGGACCTTTGGAAGAGCAGGCAGTGCTCTTAACCTCTGAGCCATCTCTCCAGCCCCTCTCCATGCATTTCTAAAGAAAACAGGACAGGTTTTAAAATTAGATGACAGCAGGGAAAGGAGTTTTTCTTTTAATGAATATATATTTGTTTATCTTAGTATGATCATAAAAGTTTACCCTGTCAAGCTAGTAAAATCATGTATAACATTAAGACTGAAATAAAAATTTTAAATAGCAACCAAGTAATAGTGAAATACGGTATTCTCCAATGTGACAAGGTTATTGTCACGGTTCCTAACTGGCCAAAATCTTGGAGACAATGTGTGGAGGATAACTGGAAGATGCAGAGTAACAACTCATAACTGATGACCTTGACTGCAAAGTAAAGCACAAAACAGAAGCCTTCTTCAAATAATTTAACCACTTTCTTTTTCTTTCTTCCTTTCCTCTCCTTTTCCTTTTTCTTTTTCCCTCCCTTTTCCCTCCCCTCCCTTCTCCCTTCCCTTTCCTTTCCTTTCCTTTCCTTCTCTTTCTTGGTTTGGTTTTTGGTTTTTTTGAGCCCTGGCTGTCCTGGAACTCGCTTTATAGGTCAGGCTGGCCTCGAACTCAGAGGTCCACCTGCCGCCTCTGCCTCCTGAGCACTTAGGATTAAAGGTGTGCGCCACCACATATGGCTCCTGACCACTTTCAAAATACGATTTTCTTTTCAGGTTACTGAGCGTGGCTCAGACGTTCTGATCAAGCTGCAGATTTGAGCTTACTGTGCATTTTGGTGTTTTCTTTACAAGTAAGCCAAAAAGCAGGTTTTCCCCAAAGCAGGTGAATAATAAGTCTAGGTTTCTTTAGAACTCATAAGACATCCCCTTCACTACACAGCTGCAGAAATAATTATCTCGGCTTTTTTTCCCCCCAGAGCAGAAGACCCAAAAGCAGGTGATGCGGTTAGATTGAGAGGCTTAAAGAAAAGCACATTAACTCAGTTTCAGTCAGTTCCAGTGACCAGACAGCCCAATTTCTCTTCGGCACTTAAGCGATCCTTCATATAACACGCATGTATTATACGCATAAACTAAAGCATGACATGATAGCCAACTATCAACATTGTAAAAACACAAGTGTTCTTTTAAAAGCCACAGGTAAGCAAAATATTAGCCTGCTAATATAAAAACTGGAATAGGAAATTAAAAAATAAAGACAAAAAGGTCTTTTGAGCATAAACTTCCACCACTCTGAAGCATCCCGCAGGGAGTTACCGAATCTCAAATCCTCATGAACTTAACCGAAAACAAGACAGCAAAACAGACGGACGACATACCCAGTACCGCTCTTCATCCTACATTAGAACCAGGCAAGTTCACCTGACCATGTCCAGTGCTCAACAACAAACGCTTGGTCATCTACATCAAACAAAGTTCCTGGTGAGACTAGAATAAACACTGCCCTTGATTTTCCCCAGAGCTCTGCAGACTGAAAAAATGGCCTGCTTTTAAGTGATGTAATACGTATTCTTCGGAGAGTTTCAAGACACAGGAATGATTTCTCTCTCCTCTGGGGAACTGAAGAGCTCAGGTGTCCCCCGAATTAAAAAAAAAAAAAAGTATTAAAAACAACCACAGTCCCTAAGACACTAAGAACATCACAACCACCAGAGACTTTTACTTATACAAACCCTTCTTTTTCCCAAAATCTCAACAACTAGTACAAACACTACATGGAAAAAAAGAAAGAAAGAAAGAAAGAAAGAAAGAGGAAAAGAAAAGAAAAGAAAAGGGGGAAAAAACAAACCAAGTACTTGTTATTCTGGATGCTGACAAACTCCTGAAGGAATAAGGTACATTGAAATACTCAAATGAGTAGCTGTTCATTTTCCCTGCTGTTTTCTAAGAGCAGGTGACAAAAGCAGCTTCCCCCTCATTCTTTCTTATGATCTCTACTAACTCGGCTCATTTTCTACTGAATGTGGGAGCAAACTCCCAGTTTTGAGCAGTTTTAAGGTTTTTTACTCCCAAGCCTAAAAAACTCTGGTTCAAACCGCACCCCCACTGAGCTCTGGAGACACAGCTGAAGTCCAGGTCAGAGTTTCTCTCAAAAGCAGCATTTCTGACACCTTAAGCAGACCTTCACAGACATTTTAGCAGCACGGAAGGCTTGTTGTAATTGTCAGTGATCACTGCCTCCCGCTCCAACAGCCAAAACTGGTCCCAGATATTGCCGAATGTTTCCCGCGGTATCAGAGCTTCACCACTAAGCCAGGGGCAGCCTGGGCTAGCCCAGGTACTATTGATTGTTCAGTCAAACCCTTGCAATCAGACCTTCACCTACAGATTCAGCCAGTAATTGCCGAACTCCCAGCCCAACAAACATTTTAAATACCACGTGTTAAGAGTACTCCAGGATTATGTTAGAAAACAGGTCTGATAAAAAAAAAAAAAAGACACTTGAGTATGTTCACGACAAACTCATGAGGAAATAAAAGTTAAAGTATATGTAATTTATGAATTTATGAATACTGGCATATATGGGGGACAGGGGTTTATGAGACATATACCTCATAACTCTATATAAGGGCTTATTTGTGTAGCCTTTATCATTTTTCAGAAAGTATGCTTAGAATTTTTTTCTTTTTCTTTTTGTGGGGCTAGGGTCTAACCCAGGACCTCACATATGAACTCTATCACTGAGCTACAGTCCACCCTGATTAGAATTTTTTATTACCAAATTATCAAATGCAGTACCATAATATCAAAAAAAAAACCCCAATGTGTGTGTGTGTAGCAACACCACGGCACAGGAGATTTTAGAAAAGCATGAAGGACACATGTTGAAAGGGACATTCAGGAATACCTCTGCGGCATTTTGCCGAGCAAAAACAGACTTTATCCTCATTCCAGACAACTGCCTTGTACAGCGGGCATCTTGGGTTTCAGATCAAGTACTTCAGTCACAGGGGCTCATACAACAACCCTCCCACCAATGCTGTGAGACACGGGTACTTTTAGTACCCACATCTTAGGAAAGAGGAAACTCAGGCGCGTTTAGAAGTTAAGCCACTTGTCCAAGGTCATTAAAACAGAGATACCACACTCCACCCAAGCACCCAGGATCCACGGCGGTGCCTCAGTCACTTTCAGAGCTCAAAAACCAGTTACTTGCTACTTAAAGGGACCAGATCGCTCCCCCTCTAGAGTATCCTTTTAGTGGCACGCCCCTGTGATGATCACAAGGCTGAAAGGTGACAGCGTGGTATGCTGTCCCTTTAGTCTTTAGACACTTAAGTAAATTCACACGAAGGAACTTGTGTGGCCCGAAATGGACACACTGGCACAACAGGAGGGTGAGTCTCGGAGAATGAGAGATCTCCAAAATTTCTACTGCAGCCTCTAGTTCCTGCCTTTGCTCCGACTACGATGCTCCTTCAAAACCTCCCAATTCTGGCTGCACTCCATCTCTCCTAGTCTGAAGGATGCTGGGGACCGCGGCTGGGCGCGGGGGCCTAGGCGCAGCAAAGTGAGGCTCCGACAGAGGACGGCGGACGACCAGGAAGACGCCGGCAGGAGCCGGCGGAGAGGCTAGCCTGGGGGGGACAGAGGTGGGGTCGCGCGCGGAGCCAAAGGCAGGGGCGGGAGGTGAGCGCGGTGCGAACCGAGGTGGGACACAGACGCAGACGGACGCCAAGGAGGTGCGGCGGAAGGAGCCGGACTGCCAACCCGGCTGGTCTGAAAAAGGAAGCGAGACGGGAACTAAGACGTTTCGAAAAGGAGTAGAAAATGACCTGGAGCGCAGCCGTGGTCCCCAGGGCGGCAGGGATATGGGTCGCCCGACGTGCGCGGCCCCGAGCTCAGCCGTACCCACCTTTCCAGAGCCCCGGCCTTTGCGTACCTGAAGCGGCCGCCTGGCTCCCCTCCACTCCCTGTCGGTCCCCGACGCCTCCAGCCGACCCTCGACGAGCAGCGGGGCTCCAGAAGGCCGGCCCCTCAGCCGCCTGCCGGTCCGACATCTGCAGCCCGCGCGGGGAGCGTCACCGCAGCTAGGCGCTTGCGGCTCCGGAAACAGCCGAAGGCAAAGCGAGCGCGGCAGCCAAGAGCCGAGCGGAGCCGAGCGGAGCCCGGGGCCGGAAGGAGCGGGCGAGGCGGCGTGGAGAGGGGGGGAGCTGCCGGAGCTCTGGCCAGTGGAAGCTGGCGACGTGGACGACCGGAGGAACGGGGAGGGGTGGTTTACTACGTGCTTTTGATCGCTTGTATTTACGGTCGACTCTTGTAAGGCTCGACAAAAATCTCTGGAAGAGTCAGGAAGGAAGACACCGCCGGAAATCGTGGTATCCATAGAGACGCTGTCGGAAGTTGAAGTTGCTAGGCGGCCTTGGGCGCGTCAATTGACTGCGTAATGGCCGAAGTCCCAGAAGATTATGATTCTGACCAAGATGAAACTCAACAGCCTAAAAGAACTAAATCTCCAAGATCTCGTAAATTGCATGCTTACAAATCAGACACCGTGGTAGAGGTAACCCCTGAGATGCTCCCGGAGATCGACCGAGAGCCAGAGAAATTTAAAACTGAGGAAGATGACTTTGAAGTGGGGAAGCCAGGGAATGCAGAAAACGTACTGCAAGAGTCAGCCAGGACGCCCGAAGAAGAAATTCCCAAGGAGACCAACATGGACCTACCTAGCCAAACTGAAGCAGAGATAACGCAAGTGTTGAAGTTAGAGACATCATGGAAAGCAGAAAGAGAGGACTTGGAGGCACCAGTGGATGAGAAACATGAGGAGCCAAACCTACAACCACCAGACGTTTCAGTAGATTTACTATTCACAGAAGCACCTGCAGAAACAGACACACAACTACACACAACAGAAACCAAGACTCCAGTGGCTACGAGCAGTGAGAAAATACTGACGTTACCAGAAGAGACTGGGCAGGAGGTTCCAAAGCAGTCTCGTAGTAAGGGAGATGAAGAAATAGGTCCAGAGCAAAACACAGTAGATTTTCCAAGTGAAAAACCAAGAAAATCGGTTGAAGAGGAAGATCTACCTCCATTAAAGATGACCAACTCCGAAATTACAAAGACACAAGAAGAGTCAGCTGAAGAGAAAAGTACAGAGCCATCTGAGGTGAATAAGCCAGAGTTTCCAGGCCAGACGCTAAGAAAATCTGCCGAGGAAGTAGATATTAAGCCTCCAGAAGAGATTCGAATAAAGTCCATAGAGCAGATAGGCACAGAGCAGCAGCCTGAGCAGATTAAGCCAAAATTCCCAGGCCAGAAGCCAAAACAGTCAATTGAAGAGAAAGTTCCAGAGCTACTGGAAAAACTCAAGCGAGAGTTTTCTGGGGAAGAATCGAGAAAACCAATTGTTGAAGCAAGGCTAGAGCTCTCAGAAAGGGCGACATCAGAAGTTCCAAAGGAAACACAAGGTTCTATTGAGGAAAAGATTCCAGAGACACTGGAAGTGGCTGCTCTGGGACTCCCAGAAGAGATAGAACCCGATGTCCAGGGGGAGACACGGAAAAAGTCAGTTGAGGAGAAAGTTCCAGAGACATCAGAGGATAGGAAACCAGCAGGTCAAAAAGAAAAGCAGAGAAAATCAAATGAGAAGTCAGAATCAAAGGGAACATTAATAGAGTCAAGTAAGAAGAAGGCTCCAGTGCTACAAGAACAGATGGATGCAGATTTGCCAAAGAAGAAACTACAAAACTCAACTGAGGAAACAGGTCAAGGGCCACCACAGATGACCAAACCAGAAGTGCAAGAGAAGTCACAACCAGCACCAACCAAGGAGCTAGAATTATCTAATGAACCCAAACCAGGAAAGTCAGCTACAGAACTTCCCAAGGACCACAGGCCAGGACCAAGCAAACTTAAGTATCCTGTAGGCAAGGATGAGCTAGTATTTCCCGAATATCACAAAAAGATGGCAGAAAAAGAAACTAACAAGGCTAAAACTGAAAATGAGTTCATGGTAAGCTCTCCCAGAGAAAGTGTTGAATCAGGCAGTACAGATTATGAACCTCACGAACTCCTCAAAGTGCTTCAGACTGAAATCAATGAAGTACAGCCAACTGATCCTGCTTCAGAGTCTTGCATAGAATTGAGAGATTCAATTACTGAAAAGAAAGTTGTAGTTTTACCCCAGGGGTCAGAGAATAAAACCAAGATCAACAAAAGTGTGAGCCCACCATTTGAACACCTTAAGTGGACCGCAGAGAATGTTGCAGAGTGGATTGGCGAGCTAGGCTTCCCTCAATACAAGGTACACAAAAACAATGGTTTTTGAAGGCACATCCTCCGGTCCCATTTCTTCCTCTCAACTGACTTGTTCTCTTGCCTCTTTTTCACTAGAAATGCAGGTATGTCGTGGACTGCGGGGAAAGTGAATTTTGGATTGTGTGTGTCTTTCTGTCTTGTGTGTGTGGTGGTGAAGATTGAACCCAGTGCATTAACACATATTAGACATACATGTTTTCCCTATCACTGGTATCTATATTGTATTTTAGAGAAAAAAAAGATTATATGTGATTTTCCTATTCATCCAGAGTATTATAATTCTGTTCATTGTCTGTATAAAGATAAAAAAAATGTGTGAAGGCCTCTTTTCATAGAAATCTATATTTTTAACACACCTAGGCTAAATCAGGCCTTTCTGCCCTTTTGTCCAGACGTCTCAGTGGCAACTCCCTTGCCCTGAATTCGTGCTGCCTGCCATTCTTAACTGGCTGCCCAATACGTCATATGTAGCATGATCACTTCAGAGTATTAAGGCCCGTTAGCTATCAGCCCAAATTAGCTTTATCAAAAATAGTATGTGCTTCTTAATTTACTGATGCCAACTATGACATCAGGTTGTGACAAAGCACAGGATCTGAAACCTTTACTCCAAAATGTCCTTGAGACTGAGCATGGTGACTCAACTTTGTAATCTGAGCCCTTAGGAGACCAGAGACAGGCAGATCACCACAGGATGGAGGCCAGCCTCGGCTATCAACCGAGTTCCAGGTCAGCCTGGGCTCGAGAGTGACACCTTTCCTTAGCTCGGACCCCGCAAAAAAAAAAAAAAAAAAAAAATTAGTGACAACATACAAAAGCAGATTGAAGCCACAGCATGAAATTTAACTCAGCACTTTTATTATTTTATTTATTTATTTATTGGTTTTTTTTTTTTTTTTTTTTTTNTTTTGAGAGAGGGTTTCTCTGTAGCTTTGGATCCTGTCCTGGAACTAGCTCTTGTAGACCAGGCTGGCCTCGAACTCACAGAGATCCTCCTGCCTCTGCCTCCCGAGTGCTGGGATTAAAGGCGTGTGCCACCATCGCCCAGCTATTATTTTTTTTAATGTGATTTTGTCCCTCTTTCCTTCCAGTTATAGTAGTGCCTGTGTAAGTGCTGTTCTTCTCGTACCAACAGGAGTGTTTCACTGCAAACTTCATCAATGGTCCCAAACTCATCTACGTGAACTGCTGCAACCTGCCTCAGATGGGGATAACTGATTTCGAAGACATGAAGGTGAGATGTGGATTAGGGTCTCAACTCCTGGCTTGGGATTCCAGGTCCTCCGTTAAGTTGGCTCCAGCCACATTCACTCTCTCCCGGTTGCCACCGAACTTCTCCAGACTGCCCTGTCTAACTCACAGCCTCCTGCCTGCTTGTGCCTGCCCCCTGTGTGTCTTCGCTCAGGTCCCATGCCCTTGTACTGCGAATATGAACGTGATCACCTAGGGCCAGTTCCTCCTCACCTCCACAGGAAGTTGTTCTTCACATTGCTGTCCCGTAGTAACCTCTCTTCCAGAGCGCCCAGTAACATCGTCTGTCTCCCATACCTGTTTGGTGCTTATGTAACATTATCTGTATCTTACCTACTTTGCTGCCTGGCTTTCAGACAAGTTACATAGGCCTCACCTATAGAGCACTGACTGGTCCTTGGCCAGTCTCCTGTGCTCGGGATGCCTTCCTTTTGTAGTATTTAACAGCCTTACACTATGTAGCATACATAACTCCTTTGGAACCTTTTCTATAGCACTTACCCCCCCCACACACACACAATGGGGTCTATTTAGTATAGGAAGGTTATAAAGGTTCTTCTGCAGTAGTTTCTTTTTTAAAATATTTATTTATTTATTATGTATACAATATTCTGTCTGTGTGTATGCTCAAAGGCCAGAAGAGGGCACCAGACCCCATTACAGATGGTTGTGAGCCACCATGTGGTTGCTGGGAATTGAACTCAGGACCTTTGGAAGAGCAGGCAATGCTCTTAACCACTGAGCCATCTCTCCAGCCCCTGCAGTAGTTTCTAAACATGGTCTTCAGAATTAGATTTGGGTTTTGTTTGTTTGTTTGTTTGTTTTATTTTTCAAGACAGGGTTTCTCTGTAGCTCTGGAGCCTGTCCTGGAACTAGCTCTTGTAGACCAGACTGGCCTCGAACTCACAGAGATCCGCCTGCCTCTGCCTCCCGAGTGCTGGGATTAAAGGCGTGCGCCACCACCACCCGGCTAGATTTGTTTTTTTAAAAGGGTCTTTTGAAATGAAGACTATTTGGAATAGAATAATGTATTGGGTTTCATCCGTTTCTTTTTGTTTTCTGAAATAGGGTTTCTTTGTGTAGCCCTGACTGTCCTGGAACTTGCTTTGTAAATCAAGCTGGCCTCAAACTTCAGAGTTCCCCTGCCTCTTAACTTCAGAGGTCCACCTGCCTCTGCCTTCCAAGTACTGGGATTAAAGGTGTGTGCCGCCACCACCACCCAGCTTAGATTCAGTTTTGTTAAAGATATGTTCCTAGTCTCTACCATTAAATGGTTTGAATAAGAATGACCTTCATAAACTCATATATTTAAATGTTTAGTCAGGGAATGGCACTATTTGAGAAGGACTAAGTGGGTTGGCATAGTAAAAGGAAGTGTGTCACTGGGGATGGGCTTTGAGGTTTCAAAAGCTCAAGCCAGGCCCAGTGCCTCTCTCTCTGCCTGATGCCTGTGGATCTGGATGTAGAGCTCTCAGCTCCTTCTCCAGCACCATCTCTTCCTCCGTGCTGCCGTGCTTCCCACCATGACCATAACTGACTAAATCTCCAAACTGTAAGCAAGCCCCCAATTAAATGCTTTTTGTTTTGCTTTGTTTTTGTTTTTTAAAACTGGGTTTCTCTGTGTAGCCCTAGCTCGTACCAGAACTCATTCTGTAGACCAGGCTGGCCTCAAACTCAGAGCTCTGCCTCCCTCTGCCTCACAAGTGCTGGGACTAAAGGTGAGGCACCACGGCTAAATGTTTTCTTTATAACAGTTGCTGTGCTATGCTGTCTCTTCACAGGAACAGGACAGCGACTAAGACAGCCCTCCAAATTTTTTAATTAAAATAAAAGATTCTGGGACATGTTTCCTACAATTCTGATGTAGAATATTATTTTAAGGTGTGTTACATTTGTTTATGCTCTGGGACATTTGTTTAACGATGTAAAGATGTGTTCTTTTTGTTGATGCCTCATTTGTTTAACTCTGTGAAGCTCTGAATTCTTTACCTAAACAAAAAACACCTCAGTGGGCTAAAACACCTGATGGTCTAATAAAGAGCTGAATGGCCAGTAGCAAGGCAAGAAAAAAGATAGGTGGGGCTGGCAGGAAAAGAGAATAAATAAATGGGGAAATCTGGAGAGGAGGAGGAGGAGGTCCGGGGGCCAGCCACCCAGCCACGCAGCCATCCACAGAGTAAGAAGAAAAGAAAGATATACAGAAATACTGAAAAGTTAAAAACTCAGAGGCAGAGGCAAAAGATAGGATAATTTATGAAAAGCTGACTAGAAATAAGCCAAGCTAAGACTGAGTGTTTAATTATAATTATCAAGTTTTAGGAGCATATTCTTCTGTAAATCATATGACTCAGAAAAGAAAAATACACTTGTTAATATTCAAGTCTTTCTGCTGACAATTAGAGAGTCTCTGAACAATTAAAACATGGAGTCCTAACTGAACATTCAGCTCATTTATTCAGCTAATCGCTGTGCTCTGCTGAGTACTTACCATGTGGTAAGTGCTAAACATGGATCCATCTAATCCTCAGGAGAGAAAACTGAGTCCCAGTGGTAAAAGATCACTCAGATAAGATCAGAACTTAAATGCTTTCTGGGATTCATGCTCTGCCTCTCTAAATGAATATTCTAATTGCCACAAACTTCCATGTACATAGCATAGACAAGCCCACTTACCATATATGGTATTTCCAACCTTGCCTTCACATGGCTGCCAAGATCTCAAGATCAAACGCCTATTCTTTTTATGTTAAAAGAGTGATACATTCTTCCCTGTGACTCCAACATCTACCTATAGTGTACAGGATATATGATCACGTTGTCAACCCCAAGGTTGCATTATTTACTGGGAAAACCTGTTTCTAGTTGTGGTGTGGCTCAGCCCTAGTGCACACCTTTAATACAAGAACTTTCTGCTTAAATACTGTAAGCAGGATTAAATAAAGTCAACCATAGGTTAAAAGGCAGAGCAAGCAACAGTTGACAGAAAAAAAAAAAACATAGAGAGCAAGAGGCAGTAGGGAGGATGGAGAGAGAGAGAGAGAGAGAGAGAGAGAGAGAGAGAGAGAGAGAGAGAGAGAGAGAGATTTATAGTTATTTGTAGGGAAGGACATGGGTGGAGGAGGGAGGTCAGCCAGGTGCTTTCCTGCCCCTCTGAGCTGGCTGGCTTCACTGTAGCAGTTGAGTCCTGGTTTTTCCTGGTAACCAAAGTCCTGCAACATTTAAGTACCAAGAATTTTAGCTCTTCGTCGTGAGAAAACATTGAGTCTACCAAAGTCATGTTGCTCACTCGACATTCTGATTCCAAAGGAATAATATCCATGGGCTGTAGTCAGAATCCTAATCCTGGGCAAGTAACAAGGGGTCTTCAAAATCTAATGAAATCCTCCAAGCAAATGATGAGCCGACTGGTAATCCTTTTATCTCAAAAAGTTTTAATATGCAAACTTTGGCATACTTGTGTAAGTCATCAGGAAAATGTGGCCTCTTTTTTTTTTCTTTTTCTTTTAAACACTGCTTGGCCCATTAGCTCTAGCCCTTACTGGCTAATTCTCATATCCCAATCAACCCATGTCTAATAATCTGTGTAGCACCAGTCTTACCGGGAAAGATTCAGCATGTCTGACCTGGCAGCTTGCTTCATTGCGTCTACCCTGTGGCTTCTTCTTGATGTCACTAGAGTAACACAAAACTCAAGTCATTCAGTAGTGGCATAAGGTTACTTGACACACGGGAATGCACCAAAGAGCTAACCTTAGACTAAGACACACATTAGCTTCCTAGGAACCATACTTTTTTTTTAAGTTTTGAAGGGCTTCTCTTTTCTGAGACAAAGTCTTGGCTATCCTGGAACTCACTGTGTAGCCCAGTCTAGCCTGTAACTCATGGAAATCCTTCTGCCATACTTTAAATGCTAGAATTATAAGCATTATCTACCACAGCTGGCATGAGTGGTCAGCTATTACCAACCTCCTTACAGACAGATCTGTTTGTTTCTTGCTTGCTTGGTTTGGTTTTGCAGTGCTGGGATTCTGGACTTGAGGCCTTGAGCATGCCAGGCAGTCACCCTACCACTAAGCTACACTTCCAGCCCCAACACGAAGCACTTTTAACTCCACTGTTGTGATCACAGCAACCAATACATTCACATTTCCTTCAGAACAGCGCTTACATCAGTCAGTCTTGTTTATTCTAAGGGGAGGTTAGACAGAAGAATACCACACTTGCGTCTTTCCTCTCTCTTGGAAAATGATTCCCCAAGGAAGATGTGGTGGTACCTACCTTTCCAGCTACTCAGAAAGCTGAGGATCACATGCTCAAAGCCAGCCTGGTTGACTTAGTGAGACCCTGTCTCAAAACAAAATGAAAAGGGAGGTGTACAGTAGTAGAACATCTGTGAAGTCCTGGGTTCACATTATTGAACAGCAAGACAAAAGAGTCTCAGCATATAAGAACTCCGTGACAAACCTTTGGAGAATAATATAAGTGAATTGCTTATCTAGGATGAATTATTTATGATTCTAAAGTATGTCCTTGAACCAATCATCTATCTGTCCTTGTTAATTTTGTCTTTTCTAAAACATTGCATAAATGCTGGGTGTGGCTCACGCATGCAATCCCAGCAGAGAGCCTTCAGTGCTTAACAGTTTAGTTTTAGCTGGGCATAATGTTACATGACTTTAATCCCAGCACTCAGCAGGCAGAGGCAGGAGGATCTCTCTGAGTTTGAGGCCATCTTGGTCTACAGATCAAGTTCCAGACAGCTAGGGTTGCACAAAGAAACCTTGTCTCAGAAAAAAAAAAAGTTATTAGATCAGTTTAGTAAGCCATTTGGTTTTTCCTCACTCTCTTCTCTCACTGAAATAGTTTCTTAGTATTGAAGAGACATGACAACATTGAATAAAGCTCTGATTTCTTTGTCTTTTCAAGTTAGTCCCTCTAAAATATTATCCTTTCGTTTCAGACAATATCTCGTCATACTCGAGAGCTTCTGGGAATTGAAGAGCCGCTGTTCAGCCGCAGCATCAGCCTTCCCTACAGGGACAACATCGGCTTGTTCTTAGAGCAGAAAGGTCACAGTGGAGTCAACTCCGACTCCCTGACCTTGTCTGAGTTTGTTAAAGCGGCAGGGTTGCAGGAGTATGAGCCGGAGTTGGACGCCATGGAAAAGCATGAGTCCTCACTGCCAGACAGCAGCCAGGAAGAAAACACAGAAGCATTACTGCAAGACACCGGCTGTGGAAAAGAGTGGGCGCCGCTGGGCGAGGAGCAGCAGAAAAAACCTTTTCACCAAACTTGAAATATCAAACTAAATTGGTTGGGGCAAAAGGTGTGGTCTTCCTCGGGTTTCTCCTCTTCATCAACCATGAGACTTAGGACTGCTAGCTCCAGGCTGACTCACAGCCTCTTCTCTCTGTTAAAGTGTACAATATTTATCTTCCTACGTAATTTTCAGAATTTGTGTTGAATTTGAATACACCCAGTACTAAGATTTAATAGGGAAATGACAACTGAAAAAAAAAAAAGTCTCTGCAAGTACATACCTCGAATCCTAGAACTAAGCTTGAGGATCGTGAATCTGAGGCCAGTCTGAGATACGGAACATGTCTCAGGAAGCCACATAAATAAAATGGTTTTAAAAAAATCTCTTTCAGGGATTCTATGATGCTGTTTATAAGATGGGGTGGGGCTTTGCACTGATGCTGCAGATTCAGGGTGGGTCATCCACACTCCTGTGTGCTCAACAGCCTGGGCCTGATGATCCCTGGCCTACGTCAGATAAGAATGATTATAATTTTATACTAAGAGAGAAACTGTGATACGTCTTAGTCTGATTAGAGTGATTCTGAGAATCAAAATGAAGACAGAGGGGCTAGAGAGCCGGCTCAGCAGTTCAGAGTGCTGGCTGTGCTGTGGAAGGACCCGGGTGCAGCTGCTGTCATCCGGGTACCCGGAACTCCCCTGCCAGGGGATTCAAGTGAGCATTTGACAACTGTGGTCTCACAAACTCACGCAGGCAAGCATGCTTATAGTAAAGAGGACTTTTATTTATTTCTTTATTTGGTTTTCGAGACACGGTTTCTCTGTGTAGCCCTGGGTGTCCTGGCACTCACTATGTAGACCAGGCTGGCCTCGAACTCAGAGATCTACCTGCCTCTGCCTCCCGAGTGCCAGGATTAAAGGCTTGCGCCACCACTGCCCAGCTAGACATTTTTTATTTTAAAAAGGAGCTAGTTCCAGGACAGGAACCAAAAGCTACGGAGAAACCCTGTCTCGAAAATAAAAAAAAAAAAAAAGAAAAAAGAAAAAAAATAATCCCCAAATATCAGTCAGCTTCCAGAGTGTTTTTGTCTCCCCAGTTTACCATCCAAAGGAAGGAGCAATGGAGCCAGAAACAAGAACCAGGTAACTAGTGACAGCAGTGGAAGAACGGAGGGCTTGACGGTGACAGTGAGAACAAGCAGCTTCAGGAAGGAAGAGCTAAGCCAGGCCTGGGAAAGTCCTGCATGCTCAGAGCAGGAAGAGAAGATGAGAAGGACCATGGCACTCGGAGCGTATCTGCAGTCTTCCGTTTGTTTACACTGGGGTTGATTTAAATAGTGCAAGTAAACGGACAAATGACAGAAGAGCCTGAGAAACATCTTCGCTGCAGCCTCGCTCACTCGGAGACTGAGTCCTTTCCAAACCAGGTGGAAAGGATCAGGGATGTGCAAACATTCAAATCAGCAGAGCCAGGTTTAGAACAGGCCGGGGTAAAAGACAGAAGGCTGACAGAAAGACCGCCGAGACTCGACCAGGATAAATAATCTTCCATTTTCACATCTGTTCGAAATGGACAAGAGGAGTGATAGAGAAGGTCAGGAAGGCCTAGTGGGTAAAAGCTCGTGCTGTGTAAGCCTGGAAGCCCCAGTCAGATCCCGAGAGCCCATACATAGCAGGAGGGGAGAACCAAGTCCCCAAAGGTAGCACTGATGTCTACGTGCATACTGACTTACACACATGTAGCACACGCACATGCACACACACACACACACACACACTAAAAGATATTTGTGAGAAAAGATGCATTCATCAGGGCTTCTGTTTTTGCAAAAGCATGAGGAAATGTTAAATATGACAAACCTGTCAGAAATTACAGTGTTCCTAAAAATTCTCCAAAAAAAAAAAAAAACCCAAAACTATTATTTCTTCCAAGGAAGGCTCACTGTAACTCCAAAGGCAGAGCAGTCATAGAGCAACTGCCTTCCTGGGCTGGAGAGATGGCTCCACGAGTAGGAGCTGCTCCACAAAGGGTCTGGGTTCAGTTCCCAGCACCCACAACCCCTTCAAACTCCAGTTCCAGGGGACCTGACTCCTATCTGCCTTGGGCATCAGGCACACGTGCACATACAGGCAGGCAAACCACTCATACTTATAAAAAAATTATTTTAAAAAAATCACCTTCTGGAGCTGGAGAGAGGGCTCACTCAGTACAACTCCATCTCCAAGGGATCTGATGCTCTCCTATGGCCTCCACGGGCACCTGCACACGTGGCTTATGCTTGCATTCACACACACACACCTTTTTTTTTTTTTAAGTGCCTCCTAATTTGACAAGCAGTAATTGTAAGGAGAAAGATGCCCATGCAGTGCCTGTCTGGGCTACTGCGGACCTTTCCTGGAAAAGAGCCCAGCTTCGAAAGTGTCTTTCAGGAAAGCTTGTGCTTCCTGAAAGATGTGTGTTGTTCACCTTCTAAGGTTTGTATAAGAGAAAATAATTTAGGCTTAGAAAAATCACAAAGCAGAATGTGAGCAATGCTTTAAACACATTTGAAGGAAATTTCTACAATACATAAAGTTAAAAAAATACTAAAAGTAACGACCTTAGAAGAAGATCCAACTGAAAGATGTGCAAGCATTTGATCAGTAATTGAGAAAGAATAGGGGGCTGGAGAGAAGGCTCAGCAGTTAAGAGCACTGACCGTACTTCCAGAGGACCTAGGTTCCCTTCCCAGCATCCACATGACAGCTCACAACTGTCTGTAACTCCAGTTCCAGGGAACCGGACACCCATGACAAAAACACTAATACATATACTATATATGTACACACATATTCATGTGTGTATGTATGTGTGTGTGTGTGTATATATATATATAAAGAGAAACAATAGGAATCCAAATGCTATACCACATGGAAATTTGTATAAGACATATCTAAGTCTTGGAAGAAAGGAAACCATGTGACTGTAGGAAAAAAGACCGCATTTCTGCACTTACCAAGAAACAAAGCCAATGCAGGCCTTGTACCAGAAGCCATCGAACGGTATCTGCGGTGCTTATAACTATAAACGCAGGAAGGCTGGATTAGAAAATGCCAGGTATTCTCCACGTGGTGAGAGAATATCACAAACACATCTAGATGGCAGGTTAAGAACAGCAAGACAAAGCTATAGCAATGGAGCAGTGTGTTACAAAGAGCCTGGCCATGGAGAAGCTAAAATTCACCTTTAAAACGAGCAGCTTCCCATCGCATAGTGAGGGCATGTGCAGAAGACCCCATCACTCTACTGACTGTGGGGGGCTGCTCTGACAATCCCACCCCTCCCTGAGGGTCCACAGGCACTGATATTTACTGCGGAAGGAGGGACAGTTCCTTCAGTGGTACAGCCACGGCCCTTGTTCCAAAAGTTCTTCCTCACTCATGCTTTTGTAGGTAATCCTAATTAAACTTCATTAGTTCACTAAAATAATAAAAAGCTGTTTCTTTCTTGAACAGGCATGAGACAGGCAGCTGCTAAGAACTTGCAGGGCCAGAGCCCTCTCTTAAATAGGCAGGTGCAGTCTTTTAATACAGGTGAGTTATCTATATCCAAATGGAGAAAACATCCTTTCAATCTCCCTAATGCTTCGACCCTCAATACAATTCCTCATGATGTGGTAACCCCCAACCTTAATTATTTTCATTGCTACTTCGGGACTATTAATTTTGCTACTGTTATGAATCATAATGTAGATACATGTGTTTACTGATGGCCATAGGCAATCCCCATTCACCCCCAAGGGGTCATGGCCCACAGGTGGAGAAACACTTCCTAAGATAGGGACACACCACCTCATTGCTCACACTTCAGACAATGGCCCCAAGGCTCCCAAAGAGACTGTCTTGAGTTATGAAGTTGTCAAGAGGCTTATTCAGCTTTTTGAATGATTGATATGTCTTCAAAGATCTGCACTGTGTGTGTGTGTGTGTGTGTGTGTGTGTGTGTGTGTGTGTGTAGGCAAGGGGTTAACCTCTGGTGATGCTTCTCATTTTTAAGGAGCTATTTTATGTGTTTGGTGTTATTTTATGTGTTTGGGTGTTTTGCCTGTGTGTGGTTATGTTCTACATGAGTGCAGTGCCCAGTGACTCCAGAAGAGGGCATCAGATTCTCTGGAACTGGAATTACAAAGGATTGCAAACCACCACGTGGGTGCTGGGAACCAAACCCCGGTCCTCTGCAAGAGCAACAAGTGTTCTTAACTGCTGAGCCATCTCTCCAGCCTCATGTGTGCCTCATTTTTGAGGACAGGGTCTCTCACTGGACTAGGGCTCACCAAGCAGGCGAGGCTGGCTGGCCAGAGAGACTCAAGTATGGGTCTGTTTCTGTAATTCCCACATTGGGATTACAAGTGTGTCCCACCATGGTTGGGATTTTATGTGGGCTCTGGGGATTGAACTCAGGTCCCTGTGACTGGAACATAAGTTACTTTTTTGGTTGCTGGGACAAAATACCCGACAAAAGCAATGTAAGGAAGGGTTCGTTTGGCTCACAGATTCAAGGTGCTGCCCGCTGTGTCAGAGGCGCCATGGCAGCTGGTCACATTGCATCTGCAATGACGATGCTACTGCTCACTCCTCTTCTTTTATATTTCCTCCTGAACCCCAGCCCACAGCGTGGGGCTGCTCACATGTAGGAGTCCTCTGTTACCTCCAAGTCTCCCTTCCATTAACCCAATCTAGAAACCCCTCACAGCCTGGTCTAGAGGCTTGTTCCCATGGTTACTGTTAATCCCACGGAACTGACAAGATCACCTTACTGACTGAGCTATGTCCCCAGCCCTCACAATTATGTTTTCAAGGAACTGTTTTAAGGAAAAAGAGGGAAACAAGTTCAGGCATCAGAGGAGAAAGAGAGGCTGGCAGAGATGGGCAGGACTCTGATGTAGGAACTCCGAGACCACAAAATTGAAACTGAAGTCAACTCTTGTCTGGACTTCTCTGGAAAAAAAAATTATTGAATACTTCTTGTTGCTTAAATAACTCGGGCTCCCCTTTTTCTTTGTTTTGTGACAGGATCTTATGTAGCACAGACTGGCTGTAGTCAAGGAGTTCTCTGCCTCCACCTCCCACCCCTGGCTGCTTCCTTTATAGCAGTAAAGCTCAGCTTTCTCTCTTGGACTCACTGCTTTTAAATTTTTAAAAACTTGTGTATATAATGTATGTGGGGTTTGCACGTCATCAACATGTGTGGAGGTGAAAGAATGACTTTGTGGAATTGGTTCTCTCATTCCACCTTTACCTGGACTCTGTTGAACAAACCCGGGTCATCTGGCTTGTATGGTGGGGTAGCAATCACCATTACTTACTGAGCCTTTTTTTTTTTTTTGCATGTGTGTGTTCTTGTGTGTGTTCTTGTTTTGTTTTGTTTTGTGTATATATACAAAACATATATATATGTTTTGTGTGTATATAGTACTCTGGTTGCGTGTATGCCTACTTACCAGAAGAGGGCACCAGATCTCACTACAGATGGTTGTGAGCCACCATGTGATTGCTGGGAATTGAACTCAGTCAGGACCTCTGGAAGAGCAGGCAGTGCTCTTAACCCCTGAGCTACCTCTCCAACCCCCAGTGTGTGTGGTGTGTGTGTTCTTTATGTATGCATGTATCTTTTATGTATATGTATGTGTTCTTTATGTGTATGTATGCGTTCTTTGTGTGTATGTGTGTTTATGTATGTGTGTCTTTTATGCATATGTACGTGTTATTTACGTGTACGTATATGTTCATGTGTGTTCTTTGCATGTATGTTCTTTATGTATGTGTGTCTTTTATGTATATGTGTGTGCGTTCTTGTGTGTGTGTTCTTTGTGTGTATGTGTGTTCTTTGTGTGTATGTGTGTGTGTGTGTGTGTGCCTGTTATTGGGAACCACATGTGTGGGTGCATTTGAAGATCAGAAGTTGTCCTGAGTCTCCCCCATCATCACTGTCACATGATTTACAGAGGCAGGTACTCTCAGAGCTCACTGACTGGGCTAGTCAGGGTAGCCAGCTTGCCCCTTGATGGATTTCCTGAATCCACCTCCTCTCTCGGTTTACCCACAACCACCGCACCCACCAGCTCAGCTTTACTTGGGTTCTGGGGATCCAAACTCTGGCCATCTTCTTTGTGCAGCAAGCACGTTATCCGCTGAGCCATCTCATCTCCTCAGTGCCTGGGTCTCATTTCTTCATCCTAAAATCCACTGTGATGCTGACAGCGCAGAGGGCAATGACCTCGTCAACTGCACACCTGAGCAGAACAAACTAATATTTGTGCTACTATTTGTATCAGATGACAAATCAACCACGCCCCCCCCCCCCCGCAATTGGATTAGGAAGTTTTATCAGAAACCATCCTAAGTAAATAAATAAAAAGAAAGCATTCTGGAACCCTTGAATTTACTTTAACGCACGACTATGCAAAACAACAAAATGTAAATGGCTACTATAAGCCCATGATGATTTCCGTGTAGTGTGAATGGTTTTACTCAAAAGCCCCTGAGCATCTGAAAAAACGAAAACCCACGGCTCTGTCAGCCGCAAAGCTGGGAACTTCACTTCTTAGCATGGTGGGGTCACTGTTTTTGTTTTCAGCTCTATTATAATTGACAAAAAAAAAATTTGTAAAACATGAAGCAAATGCACACCATAGAAATAAGATCAATATTTTGCAAACCTTTTTCAAGGATTTACTGCAAGTGCCAGCTTTGAATGCACTTTTTTGCTTATATCTGCCTGTTTTCAGGTACAGTCTCACCTGTGGCTCCAGAGAGGCCAGCTTCCTGCTGCAGACCCCTAGCACGAGGGTTACAGATGGGTGCCGTCGCTCTGCAACAATCTGCATTTGTTTTCCTTCGTTTTGTTATTGTTTGGGGTTTTTTAAGACAGGGTTTCTCTGTGCAACAGCCCAAGCTGTCGTTGAACTCAATTTTTTGGAACCAGAACTGCCTCCTGAATTCAGGGATTAAAGGCTTGTTTTGTTTCTTTATTGTTAGTGGTGGTGGTGCTGGTTGGTTGACTGGGAGATTTTTGTTGGTGTTTTTTTTTTTTTTTAATTTTTTGAGGACATGGTCTCCTCTATCCCAGGCTGGCCTCAAATTCACTATATAACCAAGGACAACCTTCAGTGTGCAGTCCTCCTGCCTCCACTTCCTAAGTGTTGGAGTGGCAAGCAGGTGCCACCTCATTGAATTTTGGGGGTGCTTATGACTGAGCGCACAGTTCTGCACATCCCAAGCAAGCGCTCCACCAGCTGAGCTACACCTTCACCAGTAATATTTTTAGGGCTTTATGGATTTAAAAGGTTTAAATGGGAGTAGCTTTAAATAGCCATCCTAGAATAGTCCAATATAACTAAAACAAGCACGAATTAATCATAATTCAACTAAGATTGCTCACCCAACATTTATTTCTCTACTCAAAAAAGTAGAAGAATCACGCGGTATCATTTTCTAGCTTATCTATGTTATCATGGGAAAAGGTTTCCTGTTTGATCATCTGATTATGACATAATTACTTGGATTTAGCCTTTAGAAGAGAAATAGTTTGTGTTAAAAAAAGGCCTTATGGGGGAGGCAGTGCACTAGGTTGGTTTAAAAGCTAGATAACCCACGTATATCGATGCATATGGACCTCTTATTTTATGCTATACTCAAGTCATTAGTATAATTCTCAAACACATTGCATGGGTATCTGTCAACCCTCATCCCCTTGGGGTGAAGAACCCGTGGGAACCTTTGACAGCTCTTCTTCGGTTGGGGTGATGCCAAATGATTGAGCGTATAGAAGAGTCAGGTGGTTCTGGAGAGTAGGCGTGGCTGAGAGATGCTGGCTAAAAGGCGTATCCTTGAGCTGCACGGTAGTCAGATCAAACCAGGGGAAAGGCCTGGGGTGGAGAAAAGACAGTGTTACTTTCTTTGAGTCTGTTTAATACAAATCACTTGGGTATGAAACACCAGATGGAAGGAAGACTCTCTGAACTTGACTATATCACATCACTGTAGAAATTTCCAGACAGAAATGGTGAAAAAATGAAAACAGAAACAACTGAGCTATATGGACCAGCATATGCAAGGACTATGGAATAAACACAAAAGAAAATGTGCTACTAAAGTGTGCTAGCAAAAACAACGCCTTGAGAAAAGCAGAAGTGTAAAGGATGTAACAGAGAAAAGGGGGAAAGTAGGAACTTACAAAGGCATAATCGAGGACGTCTGGAGAAGCACAGCTGAGCACATGGCTTCCCCAGGGCAGGGCGATATGGACATTTGCATCAATAACTCATAAGGCTGTATATTTACAGAAGTGTCGGGGACCGTGTTTCAACAAGTATACCACTTACCAGGGTAGGGGTATGCGGATCTGAAAAATGTCAAGTAGGGAGAACAGAAATAAGAAAGAATCACTAAAACACAGGAGAGCTCAGCGAATACTGAATGCTGAGCTCACCTGCGTTTATTTTCCGTGCACTTTTAAACCCCAACACAGAAAGGGGAAGAAGACAAAAGGCTGCTTTAACCTGATACAAAGGACAGCTAGAACAGTTATTTGCTTCAATGCTTTGAGACATCAAGTCATTAGCATTCTGTTGTTTAGGCAATGAACCCACCCTAGACCGAGTGTCCTGAAGGCAGCCAGCTCACATTTTTAGGCCTCCACACAGAGTATTAACTTCTTCTGCACATGTGTTATATTTTACAATATTTTTAAAAAATTAATTGTAGGGGTGGGTTTAATCACTTAAGTTCTTGCCTCTCAAGAATGACAATCTTGGGGCTGAAGAGATGGCTTAGTGGTTAAGAGCACTGGCTGCTCTTCCAGAGCACCTGAGTTCAATTCCCAGCACCTGCATGGCAGCGCACAGTCGTCTGTAATTCCTGTTTCAGGGAACCTGACATCCTCACACAGACATACATGCAGGCAAAACACCAATAAACATAAAGCAAATAAATCATTTAAAAATAAAGAATGACAACTTTTAGGCAGGCATGCTGACACACAACTTTAATCCCAGCACTCAGGAGGCAGAGGCAGGTGGAACTCTGTGAGTTCAAGGCCTACAAGTTTCAGGACAGGCAAGGATACATAGTGAGACATGTCCAATTAAAAAGTGTAACATGGGGGCTGGAGAGATGACTCAGAGGTTAAGAGCATTGCCTGTTCTTCCAAAGGTCCTGAGTTCAATTCCCAGCAACCATATGGTGGCTCACAACCATCTGTAATGGGGTCTGGTGTCCTCTTACAGCCTTCAGGCAGAATATTGTATACATAATAAATAAATAAATAAATATTTTTAAAAAAAGTATAACATGGTTCAGCACCTGGAATTTGGCCAAAGAATCGGTAGTCCAGGAGCAGCCTGGGCTAGATGAGACCTTGTCTCCAAAAAGCACAAGTAGAACAAGATGAGCTAGAAAGGCCTTATAGCTCCCTCCCAACAGAGTGTCCAAAAGCAGAAGATGATGGAACAGAGCTTAAAAACACGACAGGAAAACGATTTCAATCTCCAATCTGCTACTTAACCATATTCTCAGAAAAATGGTAGGTAAGAGCACAAACCTTTTCAAACACTAACAAATCTCCAAAATTACTTCCAATAGACCCTTTTCTCATGGAGTTATTATAGGATATGGGCCACTAAAATTAAAAAATAAACCTAAAGCGTCAGGAAACGAAACAACAGAGAAGTGAGGAAAATCCCAGGCTGAGAGCATCATCAGCAGGTGACCAGAATATGGAGTGGGAAGGAGAAACCGGAATCCATGATTAGGTCTGGGGTCCTGGGATTCCAGCCTGCGGCACTTGGTGAGGCAGCAGTAGTTAGATAAGATCCCCACAGAAACTGGGGTGCTTCCGCACATCGGGCTTCAGGAGATGGCAACCTCATGATTACCCAGACACAGCACCAATGGAGAGTTTTATCCGACCAGAGTAAAAAAACGGCAACTTGAAGCCGGGTGTACACCTTTAATCTTAGCATTCAGGGGGTAGAGGGAGGCTGATCTCTGTGAGTTCAAGGCCAGCCTTGTCTACAGAGTGAGTCCCAGGACAGCCAAGGCTACAACTGAGAAACTCTGTCTCGAAAAACTTAAAAAAAAAAAAAAAAAAAGAATTCCCAAACTGGAAAAGACTGCCCAGGAACAAGTGTAGATGATGAAAGAAAAGAGGACCCAGGGTTGATCTCCAGAACTCTCAGATCTGAGAGGAAATCAGCAGGGGAACTATCAGAGAAGAGGCGTGCCAGCCAAGAGGAACAACTGCTTGAAGAAGAATGGCGTACCCAGCCGTCCACGAAGGAAAGGAGCTCAGAGTCCAGTGAGTCAGGGGACATGGAAATCACTAGTAATGGCAGCAGCAAGCTTCCCGTATTGGATTAGCAAAGACCAGAAAGGTTGACTTTATCGTTACCACGCTATCGAGAAATAAAGAACACTCGCATATGGCATTGGTATGGATGTTTTGCTAAGCGATTATGTACATATGTGTCCTCTAACCCAGACAGTCATCAGTATGTTTATCCAGCAGAAATACCTGTCCAAGTATTCAAAGGAGTACACGGATGTTCTAGCAGCCCACTGTGCAAAATCTGAGGTGAAAGAAAGAATTATACTCTATCACAGGAAGGCCGGGCAACTTGTAACTTACACAATGTGTCTGAAAGGCTGCCTGTGTGGCTGCTTTTCCTAAGTGAAGCAGACAACACCACCATCAGAGCTCTAGGTGGATACAGAAGGCAAAAGTGGTGTTATGCCTCCGTGTTTCTAACACTGGAGTAATAGATAAGCATACATATTACATACATACATAATAGCATACATATTACCATATAATACTAATATCTGTCAGTGCCTAGAAGAAAGGACAAAGCATACTCTATTCAAGATGACTATCTACAAAATGAGATTTAAGAGGCAGGGAGACGTTCTTTTAAAACTGGTTAAGGTTTTTGTTGTTGCTGTTGTTCTTTTGTTTTGTTTTTAGAAAAGTGTATTATTTCTACCCGCTTTAAAGGGGAATGCAGATCAGGGTCACGCAATGTGGCGGGGCTCGTTTGAAAGCCTTGAACTTGAAAAGTTGAAATTCTAGGACGTCAGGTTCAAGGCCAGCCTGGGCTGTAAGGAGACTCTCAAACACAAACAAAGAAAAACAAACAAACAAACAAAACCACGCAGAAGCTAGGAGAGGAACGTGAAAGGATAAAACAAAAGAAGTGAACGAGACAGACTAAATGGTTTAGCGGGTAAAGATGCTGCTACAACCATGCTTGCTGCCAAGCTTGGGGATCTGACTTCAACCCCAGCATGCACGTGGCGAAAGGAGAAAACAAATTCCTACAGGTCTCCCTGTGGTCTCTCCAAGCCCCCCACCAAGACATTTTTTATTAGTTTTTTGAGACAGGGTTTCTCTGTGTAGCCCTGGCCATCCTGGAAGTCACTCTGTAAAGCAGGCTGGCCTCGAACTTACACCTCTGCCTCCTGAGTGCCAGGATTAAAGATTTGTGCCACTACTGCCCCACCCCAAAAAATGTTTTCAGAAAGCATCCTCCATTAAGACAGGACTGGGGGACAGATTCCAATGGCCAGATGTCTGACATCATACCTTCTATGAAGCAACGTATTGACGTAGTTTTTGTTCAAAAAATCTGTTAGCTGGAATTTGGGACAGGACGCCTTGTCTGTCTCGCAGCTTTCCCAGTGCGCGGAGAGAAAGAGCTTGTTGAGGATCTGGAGCACGTGGGAGTGGAACACGTTCCTCGCTGTGCAGACGTTGATGGCCGCATAGAACACCCCCTCCAGCCATTTGATGTTGAGGATCACTCCCCCTTGACATGAAGAAAAATGACAGTGAGCACTGCAGAAAGAAGTTGTAGGGTACCCAGGAGAGACCGAGAGAGGGACAGCGAGGCCACCTTCTCCCCTAAACTGGTTAGCGGTGTGCCAAGAGATGAACGCTCTTCCTCCCTGGCTATGAGCCCCATAGATCACATTATGAGCTGATCGCACTGAAGGGGAGCAGACAGGACTGAGCTGGGCACTGCTAAAGGCAGAAGGATCTCTACAACGGTCCCTGCCCACAGCAGGAACTGGGAAATACTGCAAGATGAGAGGGAAACCAACCCATTTTTCTTGTCCCAGACATTGTGTTCTGGTTTTTGTTGTTATTGCTGTTGTTCTCCTGGGATCTTTTTGGTTTTTTTTTGTTGTTGTTATTGTTTGTTGTTTGTCTTTTGTTTTTTTGAGACGGACTCACATGTAGCTTTAGTTATCCGCAAATTTGGTTATAGCTAAGGAGCCCTGACACCCAGCTTCTTTCATCTCCACCTCTCTAAGACTGGAGTTATCAGCATGTACCACCAAGCCCAGCTCATTCCCTTATTCACATAAGTTATTTTCCCTGGTTGTTTCCAGTTCAGACTTAAGGATCCAAAAGTTAGGGTTTTCAGTTCTGCCTAAGAAAGGCTCCTCTTACCTATCCAGCCCTTTTTTTCATACTATGGTAGTTTGAATGTAACTGGTCACTAAGCTCAGAGGGAGTGGCACTATCAGGGGGTGTGGCCTTCTTAGAATAGGTGTGGCCTTGTTGGAGAAACTGTGTCACTGTGGGGTCGGGCTTTGAAGTCTCCTAGGCTTCCTGTTGCCTGTGGGTCAAAGTATAGAACTCTCAGCTCCTTCTCCAGCACCATGTCTGCCAGCACCATGTCACACCATGACGACAATGTATTGAGCCTCTGAAAATATAAGCTACCTCAATTAAATGTTTTTCTTTTATAAGAGTTGCTGCCATGGTCATGGTGTCTCTTCACAGTAATCAAAACCCTAAGACACATACCAAACTCGAATAACTAAATGTATCTACTTTGTGCTTTTCCCAACACACACACACACACACCATAGAAGGTAACTGTCAAGAGAATGTCAGAAGCAGTTACACAGTTGAGCATTTACCAACATCACTGTAGGGGTAGGTACCCCGAATGACCTCTGGATCTTGAAGAACAGCTGTGATTTCCTTAGTCTCTCCCCAGATGTTGTCAAAATGCTCAGTAAAGTGATACTGAGGCCGCAGGATATTGTTATGGTTCAGTAGAAATTTCAGCCTGAAAGCCACAGAGTCGGGGAGTACAGCATCAGTTGGGAAGGAATGGCTATCCAGTCTACTGCGCTGGGAGCTAAGCCGAACAGCCGCCCCCCCTCCCCTGCACAGCACGGCTCAGTGACATGACTGGGCCTGGTGTCCACGAAGGGCCCTGATGGATGGATTCTCCCAGCCATCCTCCTATCGTGTGCCTAGCTTTCGACTAGAGGCAGGAGTACAAAAAGGACGCTTGACACCTATTTTTCATAGCTTTTCATGCTATCTGCTGTTTTCTCATTGATGTGAGTACCTGGGAAACAATATGCCATTCACATTTTAAACAGGGGGAAATATCCCAATTCTAAGTGTTGTTTATGTAAAAACCGGGGTTCGGGGGCAGGTGGAGATAGAAAGGCTGGCTGGGTCTTTCTGCGGGTCACGTGGCTCCTTTTTCCTGAGGATGACCTAACTCCAAGAGGCGGGCAGGCGACTTCAGTGACTAGGCTGTTCGGTTCTCATGCTGACCTGGGTAGCGGGATCGCCGACACAAAGCTGTACACGAAGCAGGTCTTCTCGAGTTTGTTTTGGATTTCCAAGCAGATATTAGGCAGCTGAGACGGCAGACAGCAGAGGAACAAGACTTGGGCCCAGCTCGCCACAGAAGCGTTGTCGTACAGGCACCGGACCCCTAACTTCTGGAACTCAACTGGGAGGGAGAAAGGACAGGAGAGAGCGCACAACACAGAGAAATTCATCCTGAGCATCAGCCGCCAGCCGCGGGGAGAGGATGGAGGGAAATGTCTCAGTAAGCAGCCAGGGCCTCGTTGCCACAGAAACCAGAAGCTGTTCCTGGATGCTTCTGTGAGTTACGCAAAAAAGGCCCCTCCCCTGGGCGAAGCCGGCCAGGGTGGCAAAGCTTACAGCTCTTGCCTGGTTCTTTTTGTCTTGCTTTTAGAACAAACGTAAAGTGTTTTTATTATTATTATTTTAATTTAGGTTAGGGAGAAGAAATCTCTAAGAAGCATTCTGCTTCTATTTCTTGTAGATAGCACTTGCCAGAGAATGAATGAATGAAGTGTTTTCTGTGTATTCTTTAAGGCAGCTCTCACACGGGCCCTCTAGACCAAGAGGATGGTTCCCATATTAAATGTTACCGAAAAACAGAATGCAAAAGATGTTGGGAGAGGTTAATGCTCATCCTCTTCTGGCATGCAGATGTACATGCAGCACACACAGACATAAAATACAAGTAAATTAAAAAAAATTTTTTTTAAAGATCCAGGCAGTGGATCTTTTTTTTTTTTTAAAGATTTATTTATTTAGTTTACAGCATCCTATCTGCATTTATGCCTGAAGGCCAGAAGAGGGCACTAGATCTCATTACAGATGGCTATGAGCCACCATGTGGTTGCTGGGAATTGAACTCAGGACCTCTGGGAGAACAGCCAGTGCTCTTAACCTCTGAGCCATCTCTCCAGCCCAGTAAATAAAAATTTTAAAAAGGAAAATAGCATAATGAAATGTGTTCATATGCAGCGTTGGTAAAAATTCACATGTGATCTTTCCTTAGGTTAAATTGGAAAGAAAAGCATTAGATGCTAACAAAGCATCAGATGTTTCTTTAACAAGTCAGAAAAACATGAAAGTAAAAGTCCACACTGGTATACAAGCATTAATAGAGGCTGTATTTGCAGTGACCAAAAATAAGGGGGAAATTTCATTAACAAATAGAAAAAAAAAAACTGTAGCCAGGTGGAAGTGGTACACGTCTTTAATCCCAGCACTCCAGAGGCAGGTGGATCTCGGTGAGTTCAAGGCCAGCCTGGTTACAAAGTGAGTTCCAGGACAGGCTCCAAAACTATACAGAGAAACCCTGTTTTGGGGAAAAACAAAAGAAAGGAAAGGAAAGGAAAGGAAAGGAAAGGAAAGGAAAGGAAAGAAAAAAACTTTAACACTCACGCCATGCTATACTACTTAGAAAGGAGAAGGCGATGCCAAGCAAGGTGACACACACCTTTAATCTCAGCCAGCACTCGGGAGGCAGAGGCAGGCAAATCTCTGTGAGTTCGAGGCCAGCCTGGTTGTCAAAGTGAGATCCAAGATAGCCAAGACTGTTACACAGAGAAACCCTGTCTCAACAAAGATAGAAAAAAGAAAGAAAAAAATTTCTACACTATGCGTACCGTTCTGCTGCCAATGTGTATTTCATTGCCATGTACTTTACATGCGATAGCACACGGAGTTCTGAGGCATACATTTTGAGCAGTTTTGGTAAGAGCACATATGTAGCTCATATTTCCATCTAAACAGTGGTTCTCACCCTTCCTAATTCTGCAACCATTTAATACAGTTCCTCGTGTTGTGGTGTGTCATGATATTTCATCTGTATTTTTTATACATTTTTGACATTTATTAAGCTCTACATTTTTCTCTGCTCCCCTCCCTGCCTCTCCCCCCCTTATTTCATTTGTATTTTAATAAATAAAGCTTGCCTGAAAATCAGAATGCAAAACAGCCACACTAGACAGCCATACAGGCCAGGCAGTGGTGGCGCATGCCTTTAATCCCAGCACTAGAGAGGACTATAAGGCGGGATGAGACGAGAACTCGCTCTTTTTCAGTTTGACGATTTCACAGAGTTAAGAGCTCTTTAGTGATTTGGTTGCTTTGCTTTGCTGATCTTCAGGTTGAACCCCAATATCTGTCTCTGGGTTTTTATTACTTGTGCTACAGTGGTGACCCCCAACCATAAAATTATTTTCATTGCTACTCCATATCTATAATTTTGTTACTGTTATAAATCATAATGTAAATATCCATATTTTCCAGTGATCTTAGGTGACCGCTGTGAATGGGCCATTTGACCCCCTAAGGGTTGAGAACGGTTGCTCTAGACAGAAAGCATTTCCTTCTCCCCGGGAATTAGTCCAGGTCCTTTTTCAGTCTGTTTCCTCAGAAACAATCAGAGTTCTTATTTCTTTTTTTTTCTTTTTGGTTTTTCGAGACAGGGTTTCTCTGTGGCTTTGGAGCCTGTCCTGGAACTAGCTCTGTAGACCAGGCTGGTCTCAAACTCACAGAGATCCGCCTGCCTCTGCCTCCCGAGTGCTGGGATTAAAGGCGTGGGCCACCATCACCCGGCCAGAGTTCTTATTTCTATCACGCTAATCCATAACTGGAATCATTGTATTTTTATACCCAGATGTCATTTTTTGAATATAAGGACAAATAGAAATATTCGTTGACATTTTTTTCAGACTCTAATATTCCACTTAGATTTGAATACTGTATGCAAAATCCCCCCATATCTCATACCCAGAAAGATAATTCGCACCAAGGGCACAGGAAGGAGAAACAGATATAAATGAGTGGAGAAAAGTTATCTTGACAAGTTTAAAATTTAGGGCCAGCAAGCAGAGAAGCCTTGCTTTAAAGGGACCTCTCCAAACAGCTTTGTTAACGCTAGCTACCAGCCCCACCCCCACTGTCTACACAGTGCTCCTCACCCAGGGACTCGGGCCTCCGAGTGGAGATGTGCAGGTTCTCAGCAGGGATGGGGACAAGTCTCAGCAGGACGGTAGCCAGCTGCCTCCCGAGGTGGCCACAACCGATGATGCCCACTTTTAACGTCTCATCCTCCATGGAGGCAGCATCAAATGACACAGCCCGAGACTGTATTGTGCGCCAGCCCTGCTGTAATAGTTCTCTAGAAAATGAACAAACACACACAAACGCATGTACGTGCTGTAGTTTTCCCCAGGAGTCCCTAAGCTTGGTTTGTTTGTTTGTTTGTTTTTTCTTTTTTCCCATGTGGAAGTCTAATGACAAAATAATACTTCAGAAACAAGGCATTTCAGCTGAAGGCCATTTCTACAGTCTTAGTAGGGAATAAAACCTTCATCCTGAAAAAGCACCTCACTTTTCTAAGGGCCCAAAACTGTGTGGAAAAATTTATCGATGAAAATATTTTTTTGTTTTTCTATCTTGAATTTTCCTGGACCTTTAAACACCAAGTTTGTATATCTCGTATTTTATTAGCTTGGAACATCACTATGACTGTTATACGTTATATGGTGATGCATAGCACACATGGACCAATTCTTTGAGCATTATGGTCTACTTGCTGGGCACACACACAGCTGTCGATTAGAATGTATCATCACCATCTTAAGTACACAATATGTTTGCATCTATGCACGTTGCTATGCAACTGATATCTAGACTCTTTGCATCCCTGCAAAACAGGAACTTTATATTCCTGTATGGCTCACTTCCCATCCCCACATCTGGAAATTACCATTTTACTTGCGGCTTGCTTTCCCATCAGAAAAACTTTAAAACTTAAAAACCTTTAAGGACACCATGTAGGCAGAATCGTGCAGCATTAGCATTTTGAACTTAGGATCAGATCCTCAAGCTTCATGCAATTCACAGCTTACAAATTTTCCTTCTTGAGGTCAAACAGTAATATTTCATCATATGTATATAATGTGATCTGTTTCTTGTTTTGTTTTGGAAAGAATCTCATGTAGTCCAGGCGGTTTTCCCGACTTCGACTTCCCTGCCTCTGCTTGCTGAGTGTTGAGATTACAGGTGTGAGCCACCACTCTCGACATATGTAACACAGCTAGCTCATTTAGCCATCTTAGTAACCATTATATATCCATCTTGTTACTGTTATACCTAACAAAAGTATCTTAAGGGTTGTTTTAGCTACTTTTTCTATTGCCGAGGTAAAATGTCATGACCAAGGCAATAACTTGGGGCTCCCTGTTCCAGAGAGTTAGAATCCATGACCATCATGGCGAGGAGCATTAACTGTTACACCCATTCAGCATCAATGGACATTAAAATTGCTTGCATGTCTTGGATACCTTAAATGAGGCTGCAATGAACATGGGCATACAAACATCTCTGGGAATTCTTAGGGTATAAATACCCAGAAATGGGGTTGCTTGATCTTATGCAATCCTGCTTAATTCTTACATTCTTAACAACATTAAACAAATGTTCCAATTTCTCTACATTCACACCAAAACTTGTTCATTTCTGGTGCTCCAATAGTGGTTGTTCTAACAGGTATAAAGGAGTATCTTAGCCGGGCGGTGGTGGTGCACACCTGTAATCCCAGCACTCGGGAGGCAGAGGCAGGCAGATCTCTGTGAGTTCAAGGCCAGCCTGGTCTACAAAGGGAGTTCCAGGACAGGCTCCAAAAGCTACAGAGAGACCCTGTCTCAAAAAACAAAAAAAAAAAAAAAAAAAAAAAAAGAGTATCTTATTGCAGTTGTGATTTGCATTTTCCTGATGACTATCAATGTTGAACAACCTTTCCTGTAACTGTTGGTTATTTCTATACATTCTTTGAAGAAATCTTGGGTTAAAAATCAGGTTGTTGAATTTATTGCTGAGTTGTAGGAGGTCTTTATAAATGTAGGGTAAAAGGGCTAGCCAAAGAAACCCACCCTGGTCCTGAAACCAAAGGTGGTAAAAGAAACCCACTCTAGCCCTGGAACCAGAGCTAGTGAAAGAAACACTTTAGCCCTAAACCCAGAATCAAAGAAACATACCCTGACCCTGACTCTGAAAGCAGAGTCATAGAAACACACTTTCACCCTGGAACCAGAGCCAGTGAAAGAAATACGCCCTGGTTCTAAAACTAGAGCCAAAAAACAAAAAAGGGTCAGTGAAAGAAAGTTTGGTCCTGAAACCAGTGCCCAGCCCCTGACCAACTGAACACAAAACCAACCAATCCCTGAGCAAAAAATATTCTCCCTTGCCAGGTGGTGGTAACACATACCTTTAATCCTAACACTCAAGAGGGAGGCAGAGACAGGTGAATCTCTGTGAGTTGGAGGCCAGGCTCCAAAGCTACACAAAGAAACCCTGTCTTGAAAAAAACAAGGAAGAGCCCGGTGGTGGTGGCGCATGCCTTTAATCCCAGCACTCGAGGCAGAGACAGACGGTCTGTGAGTTCGAGACCAGCCTGGTCTACAGAGCTAGTGCCAAGACAGGCTCCAAAGCCACAGAGAAACCCTGTCTCAAAAAAAAAAAAAAAAAAAAAAAAAAAAAAAAAAAAGTTTTGAGGGAAGTTCTTTCACCTGTGCGGAGTGGAACCTTTGCTGAGATGTTTTCTTAAGGGGGCTGAGCAGAAAAAAAACAAACAAAAGAACAGATAAAACAGTTATATCTGCTAGGAAACTTCCTTGGGGGTCGAGCAGAAAAGAGTAGCTGTTTGCTGAAGCTGAAGGAGATTGCTACATTTCTGCAGACCCCCACTGTACCCCAACTTCAGCTATAGTCTGACCTCCCGATGAGTCAGGATACCTTTCCCTCCAGAGCTGTAACACTCACAATATATACTGGACTTTTATTTATTTTCATCTTTTCGAGACAGGGTTTCTCTGTGTAGCCTTGGCCGTCCTGGAACTCACTCTGTAGACCAGGCTGGCCTCGAATGCACAGAGATCCAACTGCCTGTGCCTTCCAAGTGAGATTTTTGATGGTTTTTCTATTGGTTTAGGGGCTGCACATGAGTCTACTGATATTTTGATTGTCATCTGCAGCCCCACAGGTCCCCCAGTCAGCACCCTGCTGGCCACACAGGCCATGGCCTGCAGCCAAGATAAGTATATTTAAACTAAGTTTGTATCATTCTGTTTACCAACAAAGACTCAGAAGTCAGATGTCGGGGGTGAAAACCTGCTAGACCAGAGAAGCCAAGAAGCAACTCATTCCAAAACCAAAAGAAACTCCAAACTCTAGTCCCACCTTTTCCTTCCTGCTGCAGCCAGCGCAGCCTGGATAGGCTAGACTGGCGGAGGAGGGGTGTGTGTGTGTGTGTGTGTGTGTGTGTGTGTGTGTGTGTCTGGATAGGCTAGACTGGCGGAGGAGGGTGTGTGTGTGTGTGTGCTGGGATTGAGACATGGAAGCTTCTTTTCAGGTGGAAGAACAGCAACCTTTATTTTGCCCAGCAGTCAGGGGGAGTGAGGGCAGCTGGATCACAACACTTCTTTTTCATCTTCTCTATCCAAATTATGGGCTTCTCTCTATGGCTAATTCCGGTCAGCTAGTCATTGGTTCCACCCCAATTCAAGGTTAACTTTATTAACAGTCTCAGAGTGTCACAGTGCAATCAAATATCCCACAACAATTTTTATTTTATTTATTTATTTTTATTTTATTTTTTCTTCAAGACAGGGTTTCTCTGTAGCTTTGGAACCTTGTGGACCAGGCTTGTCTTGAATTTACAGAGATCTGCCTACCTCTACCTCCCAAGTGCTGGGATTAAAGGCATGCACCAACACCACTCGGCCAATTTTATTTTTTTGTTTTGTTTTGTTTTGTTTTTTCGAGACAGGGTTTTTCTGTGGCTTTGGAGCCTGTCTTGGAACCAGCTCTTGTAAACCAGGCTGGTCTTAAACTCACAGAGATCTGCCTGCCTCTGCCTCCCAAGTGCTGGGATTAAAGGTGTTCATCAACACTGCCTGGCCAATTTTTCTTTTTCTTTTTTCTTTTTTTTTAATTGATATTTATTGAGCTCTACATTTTTCTCTGCTCCCCTCCCTGCCTCTCCCCTCCCCCTTTCAGTCCTCTCCCAAGGTCCCCATGCTCCCAATTTACTCAGGAGATCTTGTCTTTTTATACTTTCTACTTCCCCTGTAGATTAGATCTATGTAAATCTCTCTTAGTGTCCAGATTGTTGTCTAAATTCTCTGGGATTGTGGTTTGTAGGCTGGCTTTCTTTGCTTTATGTTTAAAAACCACCTATGAGTGAGTACATGTGATAATTGTCTATGTCTGGGTTACCTCACTCAAAATAATGTTTTCTAGTTCCATCCATTTTCCTGTTATTTTTTTCTGCTGTGCAGTACTCCATTGTGTACAATTTTTATTTTTTTAAAGGAAGTGTCTCGAGTCATCTGGACTGGCCTTGAACTTGGTACGTAACTGAAGAAGACCTTAAACATCTGATTCTCCTGAGGCCCATTGACAGGTGACTGACACCCGGTTAATGCAATGCCGGGGATTAAACTTGTGCATTGTGCATGCTAGGCAGGCACTGTGCCAACTGAGCTTCGTCCCCAAGCATATAATCAATGCTTACACCTCAGCAGATAAATGGTTTTCAAGCATTTTCTCCCTTTTTAGCGGTCCGCTCTTTTGCTATCCAGATGCTTTTATTTCTTAGCTATATAGATGCCTTTAAGTTCGAAACAATCCTATTGGTTTATTTTTGCTTCCATTGCCTGTGGTTTTGTAGTGTCCTATTTATTGACTCATGTTCTTACCACTGAGATCCACCCCTAGCTGGCATTGTTGTTAAAATCCTTTTCCGCTGTTGATTGTCAGCATACATAAACGCAACTGGTTTTTGAGTGATTTCTTTCTCTTCCTTCCTTCCATCTTTCCTTCCTTCCTTCCTTTCTCTTTTTGTTTTGCTTTTTATGTTTTGTTTTTTGAGACAGGGTGTCTGTATAGCCACGGCTGTCCCAGAACTCGCTCTGTGTTCTGTAGACCAGGCTGTCCTTGAGTTTACAAAGATTGTCCTACCTCTGCCTCCCTCCCAAGTGCTGGGATTAAGGGTGTGCACCACCACTGCCAGGTGTTTTTTGTGGTTTTGAGGCAGAGTCACCTATGAAATTTTTTATTTGTTTGTTTGTTTAACCTAACTGCATTGGCTATGACTTCCAGGACTTAAGTGAATATAATTAGTGAAGGTGGGACTCCTTGCCTTGTGTCTGGTCTTAGAGGAAAAGCTTTCTGCTTTGAATGTGATGTCACCTTGGGCTTTTCATACAAGGCCTTCAGTACACTGAGGTAATTTCCCTGTGTTGAGTGTTGTACTCATGGAGGAATGTTGGCTTTTGTCAACTACTTCTCTGTGTTGAACTAAAATCATTTTTCTTTGGTAAATGTGGTTTTTACAAAGGGTATTTAGGCATAAAGTCAGAAGGCAGAGACAGTGACTAACTCCCCGTGATGCTCTCCCCTCATTTTACACAAAATGAAGGCAAACCACTCTTGAAAGGACAAGTATCAGCTCAGCACCTCCAAAACCAAGTTCTCACCACCAAGGAGATTTATTTGCTCCAGAGGGACAGAGAGCAAGGAATAAGAGACAAACACAGAAGACAGAGGACAAGGGAGGAGGAGAAGGAAACAAGGGAAAGAGGGCAGGGGTATTTGTCCCTGAGGACAAAGGACTGCCTGTGGATAGAGAAGAGACAGACATGGCCCATAGGCAAATGTTGGTGTATAAAGGTAAAATGGGAAGCCCCGTGTTAGGATGAGGTGTTTGATTTTAATTGGGCATTGCATAGGTGTGGGTTCCTGTGGGATGGCTTCTCGTGCATGCTTACATTCTCCTCTTTCCCGGAGTTTATGTAATCTGAACTAGGAAATGAACTAAGATGACCTGACATCTCTTTCTTCTTTTCTTCTTCTTTTTTTCTTTCTTTCTTTTTCTTGTTGTTTTCGAGACAGGGTTTCTCTGCAGAGTGAGACCCTGCCACAAATCAAAACAAAGTAGAGCACAGCAAAAAAAAAAAAAAAAAAAAAAAAAAAAAAAAAAAAAAAAAAAAAAAAAAAAAAAAANAAAAAAAAAAAAAAAAAAAAAAAAAAAAAAAAAAATCACACCACACACAAGCATCTATTCTCCTGATTCTGAGTGTTCTGCTTTGCGGTGTTTCTGGTGTTTCTGCCTGCTGTTTCCTTTTTGATCTTCTGCCTGGATCCTGTAATGATGGCTGTAACTGAGGTGTTGAAATATCTTTCATATCTTTTAGTATATCAGTATTTGCTTCACAAAGCTGAATGTTTGGATATCAGACACATATCTTCATGGAAAACGATCTTTTATCATTGTAACAATTCCGTTCTTTGTCCCGTATAAGTTTTTTATTTAAAATCTTATCTGCTGTATCAGAGTTTGCTTCAACATGATGGAAGCTACATTGTGCACAAGTTGCCTTTTTTTTTTCTTGCTTTTGCTATTATTTATCAAATTTGATTACGGTGTTTCTCTTTACTTGTTCCTTTTTTTTTTCTTTCTTTTACTAATACTTCCAACTGACGCATCTTTGAGTTCTCTGATTCCATCTGCTCGGTCATACCAGATGCTGAATTCCTCTGGTGAAATCATTCATTTCAGTTACTGTTTTTAAGAACTTGGTTGGCTTAATAGTTTTACTTGTTCAGATATAATGTTTCTCTGATCTCCTTCAGTTGTTCCTGTCACCCACTGATAGGTCAGTCTCAGAAGAAAGAACTGCCTCTATCTGAAGTAACAGACAAGGGTGACTGGTCATTAGTGCCGTGGAAGGCGAGCTGGTGGTGTGGGGGAGTAAATGTGTGAATAAATGGAATAATTCGGCCACCCTCTGCCCAGCAGTCACCACCAGCCCAGGCTTTACTATGTAAGCACAAAACATCCTTGAATGGATTTTGCCATTCATTTCAGATGAGAAGTGATTGAATGTGGACTGGACTTGGTTAGAAAAACAAATTTTTCTGCCCAATTTAACCTCCAATCTAAAAAGTGCAAGTCCCTTGGGCGCCCAGCAGTGATGCTTGTCTTTATCAGTTAGCTTACCTTAAAGTACAGAACAGTTTGCAAAAGAAGACTGCATGAGCGCAGCCCTTGATCATCAGTCCCCGATACCGCCCCTGCAAATACAGCCAGTAGCGCTCATCCTCTGGAATCCCATACTCAAACTTCAGGGACTCAAGGTCGTCTAGTATATCCATTCCCAAACCACCATCTCCTGCAGGGACAGAAACCAAACAACATGACTCCCCACCCTGGAGAACAGGGGTTCGGGTGCAAGGGCGTAAGTCACATTGATGTGGGACTAGGTCACGTGTCCTCATGGCGGTGAGCTTCGGCGCTCTCTCCTTCCAGAGGCGTCCTAATACCTACGGGTCATGAACCCTGGATGCATGAACCCTGAACGGGAATTCACAGGAAGATTTAGCCATACTGGCTACGGGTGCATCTTCCAGCAGGAGTTAGGATAGCGGTAGGTCTCGTGGGCTCTCATTGCTAGGCGCTTTCCTCTTCCATTCTGTGAGCTTTAGAAATATTGCGGATCACAGAAAACCTCGTTTCAAAGAAAATCTCCACTTTGAGTAAACTCTGTGTTCCCTGTAGGGCAGAAAAGAGCCCAAACTGGGTACCACTGATCCCTTAGCTACAGCGTGGGCACTACAATCTTAGAAAATAAACCTAGACATATACAAACCAATCTACATAATCTCTTACCAACTGAGATATGCCCTACTCCTCAGGACATCTGGTCTGGGCAGCTGAAAACTACGTATGTAAGGCGAGCCACCCAAGAGAATTGTCATTATGACCCCATAGCAACCAGTTCATTCTATTCTCTGGTCTTAAAGGAGCAAGACATGGCTACAAACTTTCCTGGCCTGAATGTGAGGGAGACACAGTTCCTTCGCTACTTGTAGGAATGCTACCCCAAGCCAGGGTGGAACGTATATTTCCCCAACAAAGATTCTCGATTTCTATTTGTTTTTCTTTTTTCTTTTTTTTAAAAATTTATTTATTATGTATACAGTGTTCTTATTGTATTCCTGCAGGCCAGAAGAGGGCACCAGATCTCATTACTCACAACCATGTAGTTGCTGGGAATTGAACTCAGGACCTCTGGAAGAGGAGTGAGGTGAGCCATCTGACCAGCCTTCTTTTTTTCTTCCAGATTGGAGCATCATCTACATTTTTAGCAGTGCTTTAAAAAGTAAATGACAGGGCCTGTGAGATGCTAAGCAGGTAAAAGTGCTTACTATGCAAGCCTGGTGACCTGGGGTCAGTTTCCAATACCACCTAAAGGTGGAAAGAGAATCCTCTCTAAGTGGTTTTCTCTCTCTCTCTCTCTCTCTCTCTCTCTCTCTCTCTCTCTCTCTCTCACACACACACACACACACACACACACCACATACAAACAAAACAAAAACAGCAAAAAGCAGATAGTTATTTAATGATTTCCCCCTAGTACCTGGGATTGAACCAGGAACTGTGCATGCTGGGTAACAACCCCCTCAGTCCCTTTCTGAGGATGACTCATTGAGTGTAACTCCCGTGACTCAGTCTCCATGCAGGTGAGCCTGCAGGGATGTGCCGTACATAACACTCCGTAAAGGGCATGTGAGGCACTGGGGCTGAACCCAGAACCTTGTGTCTGCTGGGCGAGCGCTCTGTCACGCGGCTACTCTAGCCCTTGGCACTACCCAGTCTTTTTATGTCCAATAATCAATCTCATAGCCATCAAGGCTAAAATCAGAGATTAAACTACTCTGTCTCTAAATCTCATTAGATTAAAAAAAAAATTTAGGTGATTTCACATAACATAAAGTTACTCGTTCTAAAATGAACAATTCTTTATTACATTGAGAATGTTGTGTGACTACCTCTGTTTCAAAAACATTTTTATATGCCACAAAAGAAATTCTATTTGCATTAAGCAATTACTCCCAATTCCTTCCCACTTCCAACCTCTTGGAGTCACCAATGTTTTCTACATATGAATTTATATATTTCAGACAATTCATAAAAATATAATTGTAGGGCTGGAGAGATGGCTCAGTGGTTAAGAGCACTGGCTGCTCTTCCAGAGGTCCTGAGTTCAATTCCCAGCAACCACATGGTGGCTCACAACCATCTGTAATGAGATCTGGCACCTTCCTCTGGCGTGTGGGCATACACGGAGGCAGAATGTTGTGTTGTATACATTATATATATATATATATATGTATAATTGTATCATTAGTTGCCATCTGTTGGCTTCTTCTATCCCCTTACAGAAATGTGACATAGTAGATGTCACGTTATACTCTTGCAAACGCTGTTTCCTGTTCCAAAGGAAAGAGGAACTCAAAACCTGCCAGTCCTGCAGGACCAATGCAGCACCCTGCAGACATGGATTCTAAGCATTCTTTTTTACATCCTCAAAAACGGGGACTCCGTGTTGTAGCTGTGAACTTGGCTGGACTGAAATGTATCTTAGAACCCCTTTCTTTTGTGTTTCTGGGATGTTTTTGTGAAGAATCTAGAATATGGGAATAAAATAGTAACCAGTTCCCGTTTCAGCTTGCAGGGCCGCATCATGACTCTCTGGCTGGCTGGAACTGCTCGGCCTGCTCTTTCAGTGCTCACTCCTGGGCCAGGGCATCTTCGACTTCGCGACAAAAACCAGCTGCTCCTGCAGGATGTTACTCTACTAAGGTTGGAGCACGTGTCCCACTCTGGAACTGCCCTGGCAAGTTTTAAATCAACTTGACACAAGCTAGAGTTAACTGATAGGAGAGACCCTCAATTGAGAAAATGCCTCCATAAGATCAGGCTGCAGGCAAGCCTGTACCGCATTTTCTTAATTAGAGATTAGTCAGGGAGGGCCCAGTCCATTGTGAGTGGTGCCATTCCTGGGCTGGTGGTCCTGGGTTCTATAGAAAGGTAGACTGAGCAAGCCACAAGGCAGCACCCCTCCAAGGCCTCTGCATCAGCTCCTGCCTCCTGGTTCCTGCCCTGTCTGAGTTCCTGTCCTTACTTCCTTGATGACCAGTGATAAGGAAGTATAAGCCAAATAAACCTTTTCCTCCCCAGGTTACTCTGGTCCAGATTTCTTCACAGCTGTAGCCCTGACTCGACAGACTCCTGTTCTAGCCCAGCCCTACTGCCCCTCACTTTACAGCCACCTTCCCTCCCTCACTGCTTTCCCTATAAAACCCAAACTCCATCCCCAGACACAAAAGCAACCACTTGATACAGACTGGTAGCCAAATTTGGCCTTGACTTGGACCAAATCCCTAGAGCGAAGTACGTGGTGAGGCTGGAGAGATACATCTATCTGCACCCCTCCTGGTTTTGCTTCTCTACTGAAGTCTGATATAATTAAACTCATTTCTTCAAGAGTAAAAACGATACTCAGGAAAGTGACCAAGGATGAGGCTATCTAGAGCTGTAGGTAATTGTTAAATGCAGAAGATGGGAACTGATCCTTTTAAAAGGATTTTTTATTTAATATTTGTATGCGCGCATGCGTGTGCGCGCGCAAGCATGTGAGGGTCAGAAGACAACTTACAGGCGTCAGTTCTCGCCTTCTACCATGTGGGACCTAAAGATTAAATTCAGCTCCCCGGACTTGGTGGCAAGCACTCTTACCCACGGAGCCATCTCTCCAGCCCTAAAGCAGGGTATAACGCAGCTGTTACGAATGTTTTAGGCAGGATAATCCTTTGCTAAGGGGGCCTTTTCTGCACATAACAGCGCATCTACCAATATGCCCAAGTATGGCAATAAAAAACGCCTTCAGACGTTCTAAATATTCCCCGCAGCCCCAAACTGCCTCCAGCTAAGCAGCACATTGTCTTAGACTGTGTACATGGCCGATTTTCCTGCCACTTCACCCACTCGTCATGCCTGTAGAACGCTGCAGTCGCAGACCATAGTGCGGTTTTTCTACAGATGAAGATGGGTTCCCAGAGTGTGAGCAGCAGAGCTGAGGAGAGTCAGGCCTCATGGCGACACCGTCACACTCCATCATGTGTGACAGCTGGGGCGGTCACAGATGCACACGAGACCCACCATGCCCTGAGTAACAGATGGGGAAGAGGAGGCACCAAGACCGCAGCAGTTTTATTAGGAGTGCAGGGAAATCCAGTTTAGGGGGCACAGGGCAGAACATGGCTGAAGTCCCCAGCAGACCAAGTGGGGAACAAACCCCTATCGAGATATCCAAGTGAAGTGCTGCCACAGTAGCCCAGGGGAGTCTTGTGGCTGTTTCTGGTGAAAGATTTTTGCCTATAAGAAGAGTGCTCCAGCACTGGTGAATCTGAATTCCATATAAGACTGAGGCCGAAAGTGAGGACCAGGTGAAGCAGATAGGACACCACCCAGTGTGCACATGAGAATGGGACCCTTAAGTTAGAAACGAAAAGTGGACAGGGACGGCAGATGGGTGCTGGCTGAAGATACCCAATGTCTAGGAAGAGTCTGTTCTAAGATGTGTGGCCCTGTGCTTGAGAAAAATGAGTCTGGTTTCCAGCAGGTCCTGAGCAATACCGGTATTCCTTCCTGTGGCCCTCGAAGAGCCAATTTAGTTCTGTTCTGACTTCCTGTAGAGCAGAAATGCCAATGTCCAACACCAGGTCCTTGGTCATAATGGCTGAGAGGAATGTCACGACCACCCTGTGATACCTGTAGCTCTTAGTCCAGATGTCCTTCTGGGGCAGTCATGTCTCTCTGACATCTTACCCAGGATGGGCTCCCACCTGGGTAAGCACCAGAGGCAGAGAGCATCCTTCCTGTGAGCCTCAGATACTGGCCTTTAGATCTGTCCCGTGCACAGATCACCCTGAAGATCATGTCTCAGATGCTGGTTTCTGTCCCCAAAGCAGCAGGCACTGCCTGAATGACACGCTCAAGTGGTTGAATGCTGTGCCCCTCCCAAGAAGAAAGCTCTGTTTCCATAGGCAGAAATGAGAAGTGAGGCAGGTTTCAGGGTAGCAAGTGACACTTAGTTCTTCCATCGAATTTGCTGTGGAAAAGCAAACAACAAAGGCATGATCAGTTCTCATCACCACGAAATAAAAGAGGGAAAATAAGGATTGGATTGGGGGCTGTTTTGTTGTTTGAGATTGGGTGTCTCTACGTAGCCCAGTCTAGCCTTGAACTCAGTGTATAGTCCAGGCTAACATCAAACTCCTGATCTCCCTGCTGTAGCCTCCCAAGGGTC